AACTTGTGAGCAAAACAAATCGAGTTTGTCTGATTCTGTAGAAAAGCTTTCTCACGAGGTCCAAGCACAGTAGAATTCCCATTCTGTAGAAGCTCGTGAATGTCAATTGTTGAGGAAATGCTTCTAATTCGTCGAAGCCCGCGATTGCTCGCTGTCGCTGTCGCACCAGACACGACCACCGACGACAGACGACACCAAGATTCCAAATTCCTGCCCCAGTTTCTAAGGAAAAGCCCTTCATTCGCCGAGGCTAGCGGCTGTTTGCTACCGATGCAGACCGCATCTATCCAATTGACATCGTTAATGACAGCACAGTCTCCGTCAAGCCATCTGTCTTTATAATCTACTACTCAAACCTAGACTACGAAAAGGGATAATATTGCGTTTTGTTAAGTATTAGACACCAGCAATCCAAGTCTGTTACGGTAACACGGGAAAATTAGAAGTTCTCACTCGCTGTCAACGTCAGATATGATCCCCTCCCGAAACGACGAATCTGGGAGTATCTCACAAGACGTTTCGAAAGAGCTCATAGATTTACGTGGTATGACAAGTACACGGGGGATATCAAGCATTTAATATTCCACATCCCTCATGCGAATCGTTCTTTTTACGGCGCGGCGGCTTTGGATGCTGAATATATCGATTTCATATAGAACGTTACAGCCACCATAGACCTAGAGTATGCCCATGAGATGTCCAAATCTTGGTACCTTAAATACCAGAAATTCGTGTAATTCAGTGCATGTATTACTCTTGAAGGCATCAGATAGGATGATACACAGGTACGTAATGGAAACGCTTATAGAGCCGCTCCCGGTGAGGAACTCGGACTTTGCAAGCCAGCAATATCCTGACGGATAACAATTGGGTCAGCATATCCAATTTGCAATACTGTTTCGTTGGCATCTCGTCCACTTTTTACCGATCAAGTTTGGGTCCTTTTGCCCTCCGTATTTCTAACTATCGTTTGTCGCGAGTTCTGATACAGCGACAAGAGGGCGCGTTGTGCGGATAAAAGACGCATCTGTAGAAATACTTTTGTATTTCTCGTGGTTGAAATCTTGTACCAATGAACTTGGTTCTTGTCGGCAATATTCGTACGTTTAGAGAGTCAGTGTGACTTCGTATGCGGCCAACTTCATAGCTTGAGTTACAATCCTGCAAAATTGTTGATGTCGGTATATCCTTGATGTTCCAATGATGAAATATGAAGCCATAGAGACGGAAAGGAAGACTTACAAAATATTCATCAAAACTCTTTGGCCTGTTGCGAAGTGAAAGATATATTCTCGATCACTGATACACGATTTCTGAATTATCTAAAGGTTATTCCATCATAATAGTACGCAAATTGCTAGTTAGGCGTCTACTCACGTTTGTTCAGGATGGAATTATTTGGCTAAAATGGGGAGAAGAAAACTATCCTCTGGGTAGAGGCAAGGGTAAACCAAATGAAAAAGGGTTAGAAGGGCAGAATAGGAGAGGGAGTCGGACTTCTCCGGGGAGGAGTGGTCTTGCATCGCCGATTCAGGGCTGAAAGAAATTCCGTCCCAACATTCTCCTTAGGACATCCCTTCGCATGAAAACAAAACGATCGTGCAGTCCACGCGGCTAACTTAGTTTTGGTTGAGAAGACTGGGGGGTTACGCCGCCTAATTTACCAAACACGAGGCAATCGCTGCAGCTGATGTATGAGGTTTTGTTACTAACAGAATTGCTGAGAGTATCAAGTGGAAACCCAAGACGTACTAATCCGGACCATGCGTTACGCCCTGGACTTGGCAAAGCGGCGTCTAATATCTTTTCCCCTTCACGTTGTATGCTAGCTTATGTGTCTCACCTAACGATGTGGATTATCTTACGGCAGCAAAGGAATAGAGTACCTGAATTCCGGATGTTAATATGAGAGAGTGCTAATTGCCTCTCTGGATAGCAGGTGCTGCTTTGCCATGGTGTTTTCATACCCCTATGCGTGCTGTATGAGAAATGATAGTAAAAAACACCAGGTTTGTGTCCCTCTGAATGATGTAGCAGGATCGGGTAGTAGCAAGATCGTCAAATATTACAACATCTAGGGGTCGAACAAAGTAATACCGGTTTAGCTCAAAGGACAAATGGAGGGGGTGTGAAAAGAGTAAGAAAGAAATACGACACTCCCTCCAGGACGAAATGTGCAGAAAACCACCAGGTGAATGGAATACAACCTTCAATTCTCTCAGTACAGAACGCGTTATTGAGTGTTGAAGTCAGCTTGCTGAACTTTGTTGTTTTATTCTCTTTGCTGTATCATAAAGGAACAATGATATCCACAATGAAAAATCAATACACAATGACAAATAAATGGTAGAACAAGGACCCTTCATTGGGGCCATGCTTGATTTCAACCTTTGCATGGGTCGTGAAAAGCACAGATCCAATTTCGGTTTCACGGGTCAAGAAATTGAGTGAACCACACCATCCAACTGGTACCGTACCCTACCGACGACAGAGCCTCATAGCAGAGTTTTCTTACCCTGCTAATCCGATGCAATGGCAAAATTTGCTGATTTAGGTTGGTCCAGAACCTCTCGTCACAATCCTCTAAGCTAACTGCACCACTAAGAACGCCTGGTGTAACTTGGCCCTGTGTTTTTAGGCTCTCGCCGAATACGCCTGTTTCTGGCAAAGATTGATCACTGGGTGTCTTCAGTCGAGGAATTTGAGTCTAATCTAGAAGGAGCATGGAGTAAGACGCTGCCGGTAGCATCATTGTAAGTCATATTCTTTAAGGGGCTGGCAGGCCAAGGAAATGAATTGCGGCCTTGAACGATGCATGTATGAGTAGATTAGAAAAACGTCAGCCAGCCGGTAGAGGCTGACGAGAGAAGATCCAGGAGCATCGTTTCCTTGAGATGGGCCGCAATATGAGTATCAAATATTGCTTACGATGCATACGGCTGACCCATGTCTGCTTGCCGCGAGCCTGACAAGGCAAGAATTGCTCTCTCGGAATTAGGGTTTAATACATTTGGAGCCTCATCCGGCTTTCCATTGGTTGGCAACCAGATTCGGCTCCCAAAAATAGCCTGCGCTTCTGCAGTTTTGTCTCTTTTCGTGGCATCAACCGTTAGTCACTGCCATGCCGATTAATAATCGGGCTCAACCAAGATTGAATCATCACACCGTATGCGGTTAATAATCTTGCTGAATATGACTTTTGAAACTCCACTTGAAAGAAGCGGTTGGTGGAATCGTTATTTTACCAAGTTACGTAAGCCTGCCTGTACGATTCATGGCCCATACACGATGGTGTTGAGTCGATATGCCAGCAGTCGTGTCTGCTGATAACCAGCAAAGCTTTGTTCTTGCGATTCCGAGGTTCCTCCGCATTCGGTTGGCCTCCGTGGGAATACCGGCTTTGTATGTACATTCAATGAAAACATCGGAGCAGATCAAGTAGTTGCTGTATAGCTTTACACTTCACTGGCAGGCAAACTTGCAGACTCTTTTTGTAGAGATTCGCACTGACCACAATCTTCCCATATTGTATGTGCAGAGCCAACCCGCGTATCCTCATAACCAACTTTACTAGCCCTCTGCTCTAGACTCTAAGAAACAGACTTGCGATCCAATTGAGACCCTTGTAACCATGTCTTCAGCAAGACACCGGCTCTGGAAGTCCCACTTGGGCCGTTTCTTGCGTGCTTGTCTGTCGCTAGTGAACGGAGAACTCCATCGCTGTGAGCCAAAGCCTAACGCGATTATCGAGTTTTCTAGCCCAAGTGCAACAGTTTGTTGGTCTCCTGACATGGGGATTGCAAAAGCAATGAGCAAAGCTTCGTAAAAAGGAAACTCCAAATAGTGCTTTGACGCGTTGCAAGACTCGATCGAAATTACCAAGGAGCAGAATAGCTGAGTGTCATTGAAGAAATAGGCCGGGTTTCGACTCAGTGGTATGAGGAGAGCAAGTCTCAGCCACAGGGTTCGCGCCAGAGCACTTGCAAGGTCTCGTCAGCACTAGTGATAACTCGCAGCCGCCAAAAGTTGACACGAAATGGCTAATGAGGCGTCGAAACAGATGGCCAGGACCCTGTTGGCAACGACTTGGTTGCGGCAGCGTTTTCAATTCTGCGGCGGGACAAAAATCGAGAAAATTAGGTGCAGATGTTCATTATGAAGGAAGATTTGCTCCACTCGTAGTCTCGTGTTACAACAGTACATAGTAGCCGTTGGGAGTCTCTTTTTGCTATTACTGAATGGATTTCGTTGCCTGCATTGTCTCTCTCTTGCTTCATTCTTCCCTTGCCGTTTCTCCGGAATCCCTACACTTTTGATCTATATTGGATCTGAACAACGGACGTACTCAGCCACGATCTTGCTTCTTGAAGTGAGCTCTTTTACTGATTAGAAGGTCAGTGGGCGGAGCGAATGGGGGTCATATGTACAGTAGATTCACCAGTGGGTGCGGACTAGAGCATCATACGCAGAAAGCTTGGATATTAGCGTCAGGGATGGCTGCTCTGTGCCTATTTTTGCTTCAGGCTATGCGCTTACCACATGCAAGCCTCCATTAGGTTGGCTCTCTCTTAAATTATACTCTTTGGGTGTGCTACTTACCAGCAGGACTGGTAAAGACGGCATGCCTATCGGTAAGCTTGAAAGGAGTCAGGGCTGAAAGTGGAGTGCCTGGCCTGTCTTGATGTGATGAGGCTCTTGCAAGGTCTTCGGTAGATTTGTACCGCCTTCTCCATCCTACCTTGATTGGGTGATATTCTTAGGCCCAACTTGGGATAGTTGCGCTTCTCTAACAGACCAATGGAAACTCGTGGTAGGGCTGATCATCTTATGGTTGGATGGTGCGCGAAACGTCGAGGGGGGAGGGCGGAAGAATATTAGTCGTTTTAAAGTATTAATACTCGAAGCCGGCGCCACCATCAGCTTTTCCTCCCGGCATTCTTCATTGTCTGTTAATTATAGACTGGGTTGGTCATCTTTTCAAGCCCCATTTGTCGGACAAGATGGCGGAACACGAAGGCCACCATGAGATTCGTGAGAAGCTGCGGCTCATGAAGAGCCCAGTTGTCGTATCTGAGACCTCCGAGAGAGGGGCCGAGATGCCCAATCTCAGCGATTTCGGAGATCGTTATACAGACAACTCTATCCAATTCATGAGAGTGAGTATTTGTTTCGTGCCTAAAGAATTTTTCACCCTCGGTATGAACAAACTTTTCTAATTGGAGATTCTCCAATGTGTAGCACGAAGAAGCCGGCACGCTGGAAATCTTTACCGACCTTTTCTTTGCCGCCAACTACGCCGTTTTTTCCAAGACACAATCGGTCACCAGTCATGAGCGAGTTGAATCATACATTGGATACTTTTGTATGCTCTGGATGACTTGGCTCGTTGTGGGACTATATGATGTCCGATTCGTAACAGACAGTATTTTCGGTGAGTCTTTTCCTTTATGTGGGATATGATGATATATATTAGGAGACAAATCCTAATAGACGCGTGTAGAACGATTGATTCGAGCCATTCATCTTGGAGCCTTTGTTGGATTTGCAGTTGTTGCTCCAAAGTTTGATCCCAGCAATCAGGATATGACAACCATGCGGGCAATGTGTACGTGGACCGAGACTCGTTTATACATGATGGCATATACTTATATTTCGCAGCCCTTATCCTAATGGTGTCTCGTTTGGGTTTGATGATAGAGTATGGCAGCATTCTTTGGCACGTCAGACGGTTCAAAAACGTCCATCTTTCGTTCTATGTCCAAATGTCCATCCACTTTATCGCTGCCATCATATATCTCGGCATCACATTCCGATTCACCAACTCCAAGGAGAGCAAGGTATTTGTTACTTGGTACGTCGTTGGTGTCGTGGAAGTCCTGGCGACTTTCGGAGCGGCGCTATCCTTCCCGGTTCTCAGTCTCGCCAAAACACATCTTATGAATCGGTTGTTTCTCTTGACTGTCATCATCCTCGGTGAGAGTATCGTTGTTTTGTCCGACAAAGTGGTCATCATCGTCGAGAACCCCGACTCTTGGGGTAAGTTATTCTACTCACTTCTGACGTCCCCCCTGTTCCAGGCAAAAGCTAAGCAAAGGGTACTGTGAATGTAGATGCCTCGATTATCGGAATTCTGATTGCTGGTGTGGCAACAACATACATGGTCTTCTTGGTCTACTGGGACTGGATGAAGACGGCATATCTTCCACCCCTGCGCCAAATGCTCTGGACTTTGGTTCACTTCCCATTCCACTTGGCTCTTGTCCTCTTCATGCAAGGATTTACGCAGTTCATCCAGTGGTCCAAGGTCATCGACGTGCTGAACAACTTGTCTACGAACTGGATATTTTTCGACCCCGAGAAGCTGGCTCACACTACCAGTGAGGAAGTACAGCAAAACTTGACGGCCGAACTGACAAAATTCGAAAACTTATATCCTCCAACGTATGTCAATACCATCGAGCTCATTCAGGAGGCTCTCAATAATATCACGGACATTCCCAATTCCTTCTGGGCCAACCTGGGCAAGGCCCAGACAAGCGATGACTATGAGCTGCCGGACGATGACAGCCTGGAAACATTCTCCAACCTTTATTCGGGTTTACTCAACGCCATGGAAAACAGCGTCTTTGCCGTCTTCGAAATCGATCTCCAGAAAGAAGCTCTCAAAGAAGAGAGGGAAAAGGGTTCATCAGAGGAGCAGTCGGCTGCCCAAAGCGGAGCCCAGATTGATGATGCGACCTGGGAGCGATACAATCTTGTGGTATGTCATCTACGAAGCCCGCATCTAGTACCATGTTCCAATATACTGACCGTGAATAGTTTACATATGGTTATATCGCAGCCGGCGCTTGTCTGGCGCTGATGGTGATTCTCTCAATCATTGCACGCGTGACTCCTTGGAAGACTTGGCCTGTGATCCGATCAATTATTTACATGCTTTTGGCGCTCGGCATGGGTCTTGTTGCTCTGCTCAACCTCAACGAGGATAAACTGGCCGCGTTCCTCTACACCCCCTGGCTTCTGCCGACGCTCTGCATTGCCTGGACTGTTGTGCTTCTTCTCACGCACATTCACCATGATATTCCCCTATTCTTCAACAGGCGTAGCCCTATGCCAGAGCGTCGTGAATCCAGCGGATCCAAGTCGAACAACGATTCCGAGCACGCGCAGCCGATGGTTAGCAACATGCACGATTCGACTTTCTATACAGGCGCGGGATCGCACCACGGATATCAGCCAACACCTCAGACTCAGCACGGGGGCGAATATGTCTGATCGTGGTGATTATTCTTGAAGCGGCAGCTTCTCTTCTCTTCTCTTCTCTCTTTTCTTTTCTTTTCTCTTTTTTTCTTTTCCTTTCTTTTCCTTTCTTCTTCTCTCCTCTTTCTTCTGTCGCACTGTGCAGGGATCAGTGAAAACAATTCTGGGAGTCGGCTTGCATATAATGTATAATAGAAAAACATGATGTCAGCGAGCGAGCACTTGGATACATAGAACACTGTTAGTCACAAAGGCGAATATCAATACCCTTCTTATTTAATAAGCGTTATACTAGGAGCATGAACGTGTTCTGGCGTTGCTGCGATGAGGAGCAGAGGATAGCATTCGATGAAAATACTCTCCCTCATTATACGCATTTCTTCTCTCTATTTATGTATAATGGCTGTTCAAAGCCGCTATTGCTCCAACTTTAATTCACGAATCGCGGCACTCTTCCGCTTCGCTATCTCATGATTCAAGCTTGTCCACAGTCCAAACTCTCTCCCTACTACTAATCCCATCTCGTCAAATTGAGTGATCAACTAGGCGGGTATCCCGCGTTTAAAGTATAGTCAGAAAGCCCAATTGGGGGGAGATGCCAATAAGCTTGCCAATACTCCACACCAGCAAAGTAGAAGAAGGGTTCAACTCCGCTCCGATTTGAAGAGGAACATTCGAAGGTTATATTCTGCCAAGGACAGCCACGGCGTTCTTTTGTCAAGGTAAAACAATGTTCGCCTCGGGTGAATCATCGTCCGCTTAGTCACTTTGCTGATGGTGGCTGAGTTCTGGCTCACACGACACAGATTGCTCACGACGACGTTAATGCTACAATGACACACGTCTCTTCTTAAGCATTAGGGAATGGAAATATAGAAATAGACTTGGATGACTCATAGTGAAAAATAAGTAGTAAATGAGATGTCAACACAATGTTTGGGTAAAACGATTGTTAACGTTCTATCTTCACAATACGACTTTGGGGGAAATCAACGCCTCATATGAACATTAATACTGTATCACACAATAAGAGGCTTCATTGTAAGCCGGACTTTAGACAGGTTGATCCCGGCAGTTGCTGCTATAAATCCGACCCCGGCCACGGCAGTTGCTTTCCAAGCGTATCAAGGCGTATCAAGGCTTCACAATGCTTACGAATGATGCATCTCTGATAATCGCGTCACCATAGTTTCTGGCCCGTGATAATCGGCCTTGTGCCGCCAAAGGGGGCGATGAACAAGCTGCGTATTCAAGCTCAGGCAGCTCAAACAGTCGCGAAAGCCATCACTGGAGCTAGCTCAATGACGAAGGATTCTTTGCGCGTTAGCGTTCCATTAGCTCTCAACAGCTCCTCCAGTCATCCATCCAACTGCTTGTATTACTCTGGGGTTTCGGCACCAAAGACTCGATCAACAACATGACGTTTATACCGTGCGTGGTGATTTGGCTTCACAACCTCTTACTGTGGCGTACTCGCACGCAGTCGCGGCTTTTGTATGGACATCGGAAGTATGCGCACAGTGTCTCCGCCAAAAGGATGGTTGAGCGGAAACTCTATCGTCATCGACTCGCCATAATTCGGTGAAAACGGACTCTTTCAGCCTCTCCCGGACTCCTAAGATGTCCGAGCAAGGCAGATAAAAATCAGGCAAACCATCGGTCAAAAGGTGGAGTGATGTTGTCGAACGGATGGATGGTGGTTTGAGACTGAGATTCCAGATCCGTGCAATTGGAACTCTGCAGCCCGTGTTACACCATAGGCATGGTCTTTGTTACCGTCTTTCCTTTTGGACGTCTCTCTTTCAACTAGATAATGAGTAAAGATCTGGATCCAATGGATCTCAAAGAAACCGGCGCTCGGCCACCCCAAGCCTCTTCGGGCGAAGCAATAACCACCCTACCTCGTGAAAACAGCCGGAGTGCCGATAAGCGAGAACAAGATGGCTCGTCTCTGGTCGGCAGCCGGATCTCATCCAGTAGCGATGACTCTTCAACTTCGGGTCATCGTGTGACATCAAGGGTACCAAGTCACGTTAGCGAGAATCGTCCCGTTCAAAATGAAGATGACTTCTTCCGCGTCTTGTCTCGGCGCCGGACAACAGGCAGCCTTGGTTCCGGCACAGAAGGAGTGGAAGACTCGGCAGAGATAGAACGTCTCATGTCGCGCATGTTTGGCCATGCTAGACGAGAGCAAAACCCAGAAGAGAATCTGCGACACAGCGGCGTCATCTTCCGCGATCTAACCGTCAAAGGAGTCGGCCTCGGTGCCAGTCTTCAACCAACCGTCGGCGACATATTCTTGGGCCTTTCTAGGAAAATTAGGAACCTCATCAGGGGCGGCCGCAAAGCTGCCCAAGCCAAGCCACCGATAAGAGAGCTGATTAGCCACTTTGACGGTTGTGTCAGACCTGGTGAGCTTCTGCTCGTTTTGGGGCGTCCTGGATCTGGATGTTCGACGTTCCTCAAGGCATTCTGTAACCAGCGGTATGGCTTTGAAGCTGTGGAAGGAGACGTCAAGTACGGCGGGACGGACGCCAAAGAGATGGCAAAGCATTTTCGCGGGGAAGTCATTTATAACCCTGAGGATGACTTACACTATGCGACCCTGACGGTGAAAAGAACCTTGTCATTTGCTCTTCAGACACGCACACCGGGCAAAGAGGCGCGACTCGAGGGAGAAAGCCGCTCATCGTATATCAAGGAATTCCTTCGCGTCGTCACAAAACTCTTCTGGATCGAACACACGCTTGGGACCAAAGTTGGCAATGAATTTATCCGCGGTGTTTCTGGTGGCGAGAGAAAACGTGTCAGTATCGCAGAGGCCATGATCACCCGCGCCTCTGTGCAAGGCTGGGATAACTCAAGCAAAGGCTTGGATGCAAGCACGGCGTTGGAATACGTGAGGGCCATTCGAGCAATGACAAACATGGGCAAAATCTCAACCTCGGTGTCGCTCTACCAGGCTGGAGAGTCTCTATATGAGCTGGTGGATAAGGTGCTGCTCATTGACGGCGGCAAGTGTCTCTATTTTGGCCCCTCGGAAAAAGCAAAGAAATACTTCTTGGACCTGGGCTTCGACTGTCCCGAGCGGTGGACGACGGCAGACTTTTTGACGTCCGTCAGCGACCAGCACGAACGCAGTATCCGCCCCGGCTGGGAGCAGCGCATCCCACGATCTCCCGATGAGTTTTTCAATGCGTACCGGAAGAGCGAGATCTACAACGAGAACGTCGCAGACATGGCTGCTTTTGAGAAAGAAGTCCACACCCAAGTCGAGGAGCGGGAGGCGTCACAGCGCAAGAAAATAGAACACAACTATACCCTAGCCTTCCATCAGCAGGTAATTGCCTGCACAAAGCGCCAGTTCCTCATCATGATAGGAGATTCGGCCTCTCTCTTCGGCAAATGGGGCGGTCTCCTGTTCCAGGGCCTCATCGTTGGCAGCTTGTTCTATAACCTCCCTGAAACTGCGGCCGGGGCGTTCCCAAGGGGAGGAACGCTATTCTTCCTGTTGCTCTTCAATGCTTTGCTTGCGCTGGCAGAAATGACGGCAGCCTTTACCTCGAAGCCCATCATGCTCAAACATAAATCGTTTTCATTCTATCGGCCAGCGGCGTACGCGGTTGCGCAGACCGTCGTGGATGTCCCTCTAGTGTTTATACAGATCGTCCTGTTCAACACCATCATATACTTCATGTCGCATCTATCTCGAACAGCATCGCAGTATTTCATCGCCACTCTCATATTATGGCTTGTTACCATGGTTACATATGCATTCTTCCGGTGCATTGCGGCCTGGTGCCCGACTCTCGATGAGGCGACGCGAGTGACTGGAGTTGCGGTGCAGATTCTGATTGTGTACACGGGATACTTGATCCCTCCCTCTCAAATGCACCCGTGGTTTTCCTGGCTTCGATGGATAAACTGGATCTTTTACGGATTCGAATGTCTGATGTCGAACGAATTCACAGGTCTGCAACTCGAGTGTGTCAGTCCATATCTGGTGCCTCAAGGGCCGGGTACATCATCACAGTTCCAGTCTTGCACTCTTGCGGGCAGCCAACCGGGCCAGACGACTGTCGATGGCGCGGCTTACATCAAATCTGCCTTTCAGTACACCAGAGCGCATCTGTGGCGCAACTTTGGGGTTCTCTGGGCCTTTTTCATCTTCTTTGTCTTTATGACGGCGTTTGGGATGGAGATTATGAAGCCCAATGCTGGTGGAGGAGCAATCACCATGTTCAAGAGAGGTCAAGTACCAAAAGCCGTGGAGACGTCTATAGAGACTGGCGGTAGAGGTCAAGAGAAGAAGAAGGCGGACGAAGAGTCTGGAGCTGTATCTCACATCACCCCAGCCATGGTCCAGGAGAAGGAGCTTGAGAACAGCGATTCAACCGGCGACGGTCCTGAAATTGCCAAGAACGAGACTGTCTTTACGTTTCGTAATATCAACTACACCATCCCATACCAAAAGGGCGAAAAGAAGCTTCTTCAAGATGTCCAGGGCTATGTCCGGCCCGGAAAACTCACTGCCCTGATGGGCGCATCAGGTATGCCTTGAGAAGGAATAGTATGGATAGCTAAAACATTTACTGACAGTCCCAACAGGCGCGGGAAAGACGACTCTACTCAACGCTTTAGCACAACGCCTCCGCTTCGGGACGGTCAACGGCGAGTTTCTTGTTGACGGCCGGCCTCTGCCCAAGTCCTTCCAGAGGGCCACAGGATTCGCTGAGCAAATGGACATTCACGAACCCACGTCGACAGTGCGTGAGGCCCTCCAGTTTTCTGCTCTCTTGAGACAACCAAACGAGGTCCCAAAGGCGGAGAAACTCGCATATTGCGAAACCATCATCGACCTCCTTGAGATGAAAGACATTGCTGGCGCCACCATTGGCAAGATTGGCCAGGGCCTAAACCAAGAGCAACGAAAGCGATTAACCATTGGAGTTGAGCTGGCGTCCAAGCCCGAGCTGCTCATGTTTCTCGACGAGCCAACCTCTGGCCTTGACTCTGGAGCGGCGTTCAACATTGTGCGATTCCTGCGAAAGCTAGCCGATGCCGGCCAAGCAGTCTTGTGCACCATCCACCAGCCATCAGCGGTGCTTTTCGAACACTTTGACGAGCTCCTGTTACTCAAGAACGGAGGAAGAGTCGTGTATCACGGGCCCCTGGGAAAGGACAGTCAGCCCCTGATCAGATATTTCGAGTCCAACGGCGCCCACAGATGCCCTCCTAATGCGAATCCCGCCGAATACATGCTGGATGCCATTGGCGCAGGCGATCCCAACTATCACGGCCAGGACTGGGGCGATGTATGGGCAACATCAACAGAACATGGCGAGCGCACCCGTGAGATTCAAGACATGATCTCGGCACGGCAGAAGGTTGAATTATCCAAGAACCTCAAAGACGACCGCGAATACGCCGCTCCCCTATCACTGCAGACAGCTCTAGTAGTCAAACGAGCCTTTGTCTCGTACTGGCGAGCTCCAAACTACATTGTGGGCAAGTTCATGCTACACATCCTGACGGGATTGTTCAACTGCTTCACCTTTTGGCGTCTGGGCTACTCCACAATCGCGTATCAGAGCCGGCTCTTCTCCATCTTCATGACGCTCACCATCTCGCCGCCCCTGATCCAGCAGCTGCAACCCGTGTTCCTCAATTCGCGCAACTTGTTCCAGTCCCGCGAGAACAACGCCAAGATTTACTCGTGGCTAGCATGGGTCACCTCCGCCATCATCGTCGAAATCCCATACGGCCTCGTAGCGGGCGCAATCTACTTCAACTGCTGGTGGTGGGGGATCTTTGGCACACGCGTGTCCGGGTTCACGTCCGGCTTCTCCTTTCTGCTGATGATGGTCTTTGAACTGTATTACATCAGCTTCGGCCAGGCCATTGCCTCGTTCGCGCCAAACGAGCTGATGGCAAGCCTGCTGGTGCCCGTCTTCTTCCTCTTTGTGGTCAGTTTCTGCGGTGTTGTCGTGCCTCCGAATCAGCTGCCGACGTTTTGGAGGAGCTGGATGTACTGGCTCTCCCCCTTTCACTATCTCTTGGAGGGCTTCCTCGGCGCGGCCATTCACGATCACCCAGTCCGGTGCAGCAGCAGCGAGTTTGCACGCTTCGGTGCCCCGTCGGGCCAGACGTGTGAAAGCTATACAGCTTCGTTCATCAACCAGTCTGGCGGATACGTGCAGACGGCAGCAGACGGCTCGTGTGAATTCTGTCAGTATGCAACGGGAGATCAATTCGGCATGGGCTTCAGCGTCGAGTATAGCCACATATGGAGGGACTTTGGCATCTTCTGCGGCTTCATCGCGTTCAACTATGGGGTTGTGTATTTCTCGACTTGGTTGAAGTTTTCTGCGAGGAATCCGTTCAAGGTTATCATGACAAGGCTGGGGAGAAACAGCCACCGAGCTGATTGATGACAATGAGCTGAATGTCTCTCATGCCTACCTAGTACCAGTATATTGCAATATTCTCCAGATCATGACCGTACTTCGGGATTCTGGTTAGAATTGCATCAACTTTTCACATCTCCAGGGCAAGCTTCTCTGCTGGCTGAGAATTGGCAATTGAGTAAGCAGCTGTACAAACGGCGTGTGTATATGCGGGAAACAGGACTCTTCTCATCTCTACAACTATTTATCTACTCAATTCATCATCATCTTCATCATCTCTTTCTCTCAGAGACTCAACGTAACATCTCTTGCAACTGAAATCTCTTCTTGTGCCACTTTTGCTACCAGCTACCTCAAGCTACCTTGTGCTCGTTATATGCAAATATCACGTTTGCTGCATTAGCGGGGTAGCATAACCCCCCTAGCGGCATCTCCACTGCCAATCAGAATCCGCCATGCAGCTATCCGAGCATCTCCCCCCACCAAACATATGCCCTAATCAGAGGCCCCAATTCTCTTCCGATATGAAAGGAAAACTTTTCTCCTACTCATCCTCTCGCTTCTTCTTTTCTCTTCTCTTCTCTCTTCTTCATTCTCTTCCGCTCCGTCCTCCTCGGCGCTCTCCTCCTCCCCCCCCCCCCAAAAACAATCCTCTTGGGCGTCCACACATGGCACCCGCAGCGCCGTCCTCGCCTCCATGACGCGGAGCTGTTCGCTCCACCGCTGCTCGTTCATTGTGTTCGCTCAAAGATGCACCTCTTCCTGATCCGCCATGGCGAGACGGTCGACAACGTTGCTGGCGTCTACGCCGGGTCGCGGGATTCGGCGCTGACCTCGCACGGCGTGCTCCAGGCCCGCAGGCTGGCCACGCACCTGGCCGAGGGAGAGCAGCTGGCCCTCAAGTTCATCTTCTCGTCGGATCTCCAGCGCGCGGTGAAGACGGCCGAGGCGATTGCGGCGGAGCAGAGGCGTGTCTGCTCCCGGGACATTCCGGTCGTCCAACTGGCCGGGCTGCGGGAGAAGGACTTTGGCAGTGATGAAGGCATGAAGTTTGGAGACTCGAGAGGCGGCCGCGCGCCGGATTCCGAGACGGCCGAGTCGATGAAGGCGAGGGTCGACGCCTTTCTGGACGGCCACCTGCTGCCGCTCCTCAGCGCTCACATCGACGGAACTCCATCGACGTGCGCCATTGTCTCCCATGGCATCATTCTCGGCGTCCTCTACCGTGAGCTCTGCGCCCGCGTCAGCCGAGGCGGCATCACGGTCGAGCCAAACCCCAGCGCCGCCAGCTCCCTCATCTCCCCTCCCGTCTGGGACAACACCGGCTTCCTCGAATGCACCGTGTCCATGACCGAAGCCGTGGCAGACGAGGACAAGTCGCTGCCGTTGATCCTGCACGTCAGTCGCGTCAACTGCACCGTTCATCTCAGGGACTTGAAAAAGACCCGCGGCGGCATTGGCAGCGCCGCTTTTGACGAGAAGCAACGCACTCTGACGTCGTTTTTTGTGCCGGGCACGAAGAAGCGCAAGAGCCAGGACATGAGTGCTGGGTAATGCGGCGCTGCCCAGTCATTCTGTCTCGCAATGGTACGTATTTTCTTTCATCTTTTACTGCTTCTGCACGTCATTTTGTGATGATACAACAAATAACTCACAGACCTGTTCTGAAAAACACAATGTGGAAAATATTTTGTCCAACCGCTGTCTGACAATTCACCTCTCAACACCCTTTCATGTTTGCGCATCATGGTGTGTGTCCCTTTGCTAACCTGGGCACGTTTAGATCTCCAATGAAACGCATGAAACTTGATGAATCGATACAAATAGATAGACCAATGGAACATGATACCTCTTTGATACCTCTCTCTACCTTCTTTTTGTGCCTTGGCCGTCTACGCATGCCTTGTGACTTGTGTCTTTGAATCATGGATAAATGTGCTCACGATGCTCCTTATACTTGGTCCAATCCTCAAACCTCTTGGAAAAGTAATCTATCCTATACATTGAATATTCCTACATCCATGTCCCGAAACTATCGGAGCAAAAGAAAAAAAACCAAGACGACCAAAATCCCGCGTCTCATCATAAATCATACATCCGTACTCATCTCATCCCTCCCCGTAAAGACTTTGTGAATTCTCCTGCTCACAGCCTGTCCCACGGCTCTGTCCGACACTGCACCATCCTTGTTGGCACTCCTCCGCACGTTCTCCAACCTCAACGGCCCTCCCTGCTCAAGCCCCCTGACGAGCTCGCCCGCGGTGCCAAACTCCGAGACGACTCCGTAGGCAATCGGTGCCGTGACGCGCGCAATCTCCTGCAGCAAGCGAACGTACGTATCGCGCGCATCATCTCCCGTGCGAACCTGTCCGCTCTCCATGCAGAAGCCTGCCGCAGAGGTCATCTTGTCCCGCATCTTCTTGTACGGAATGGTCGATATGTGCTGGGTAAAGGCGACGATCCATTGCGCAGTTTCCGACGGCACTGCCGTGTGATGGATCAGGACATCGTGCTCGACCTGTAACCGCAGCATGGCGTCTTCGACAATGTCTTCGGAGATGTACTCCTCGACAGCAGCGATGTTACGGCGTCTACGGGGAGCGGCCGTGGTCGATGCTGCTGCTGCTTCTGGATCGGGCTGTTCTTGTGCACGTACGCCAGATGTGAATCTGCGATTTCGGATGTTGCGATTCTTCCTCATCCAGAGGTTAATTCCTTCGAGGAGGTATATCAGTTCGTGGCCGGGAAAGTGTCTCTTTGTTCGAGAGACGTTGGAGTCTACAGAGTCACTGACGGCCATGTCGACGAATTCCTCCGCCGTGATCAGGACAAGTACGTGCTTCTCAGCCTTGATCTGCAGCGGGATCGGTTCCCAGCGGCCCATTTCTTCATCGAAACGGCTTCGGACCTTTCTTGCCCACTTGAAGGCGTTGGCGATGGGGCTCTCCCGGCTGGTATATTCTACGCTTAGCCCATCCAACAGCGTCTCCAGTTGTACTTTTAGTCCTTCATTTACGCTTGATGGCATGATGAGCATCATCTCCGGCGTCGAAACCTTTTTGTCGGTGCGAACCTTGTTCACCTCTGCCAGCGCAGCAGCACGCTCTTTTTCCAAGGCTTTGGCCTCTTTAAGCTGTTCTTTCTCCTGTCGTTTTCGCTCTTTTTCGACTGCTTTGGCAGCTGCTTGAGCCTCTTTATCACGGGTCCGCTGCTCTGCCGTTCTTGCTGCCGCCGTGTTTGTAGTCGTTGTTTTGGGTCTGCTACTCCTTGAGGAGACAAAGTCACTACGAGAGCGGCGAATGGGAGAGCGAGGACGGGGCCTGGGATGAGAGGCGTTGAAATCGGCAATGTCTGGAAACTCATCCTCTGATGTGCCGGACGAATCCGAGTCGATGTTAATGATGGCTGGTCCGGCAGTGGTCTTCTTCGGTGACGGCACTCGCGGGGTTTTCTCCGGAGCAGAACTTGAAATCGGATCCCAGTGCTTCTGTCTGCGAGAGTAATCAAGCACCTCTACAGATGCCGCTCTGCGAGGGGTGGCGGCATTGGCAGGCAGAAGCAGGTTGAAATCTTGTGAGCTGGTAAATGGATCCGAGAACTCGTCAACGTTGACTTTCGGACGCAGCGACTCTGGTTGTTCTTTTGGCTTGTGTGGCTCTCGCGGAGGAGGTGGTGGCAGAACTGGAGGAAGCGGAGAGCTTGCAAAAGGATCGGAGAATTCGTCGGCTATGATGGCCGCAGTTTTGCGTTTCTTTGCTCCTTCTTCAGGCGTTACAAGGGCTGCTGGAGGAGGGGAGCTGGCGAAAGGATCAGAGCCCAAGGACATCTCCGGGGGTGCCTTGTTTGTGTGCGCCGGCCGAAGCCGAGCGGAACGTGAACCGGCATTGCTGACGTTGTGCTGAACCTGAACGGCGGGCGTGTCTGGGTCGATGGAGCTCGTGAATTCGATTGGGTCGAATTCCAATCGCCTTGGTCTGTTATTGGTCGTGCTGAGAAAGGGAGGCGGAGCTGCTCGAGGGGGAATGGCAGGCAGACGAGGCGGTGATTTGGAGATTCGCGGCCGCTTTGCGTTTCTGGTGTCCTGGCGGGCAGATTCACCGTCGGTGATGTCGAAGCCGAGGTCGAAGTCGGAAGATACAAAGAGCCGCGGTGAATGAGGCCGTCTGTGTTGATTTCGGCCTCCATCAGGCGCAAGTATCGAGAGTGGCAGTGGCAGTGACGGTGACGAACAAGCTGCTGCTGATTCTCTTGCTGGCAACGGAGGGCTTGAAGAGATGAGATCAATCACATGCGGAGCCATGGCAGCAGCAGCAGCAGCAGTTTCTGGGCTTGTTATTGGCTGGCTGGCTATTCGAGGCTGAAGCCGGCGAGGCTGCGATGCCGTGCCATTTCACATGTCATGAACCCCAGCAAACGAGGATTCCTTCATCTGACACTCTGTTTTAGTTACCGCGAGCTCCAGACAAGGAAACGCGATTGTTGGACTCGCGTTGAATTCGCCAAGTCACGTGCTTCAAAATACAGCAGCTATGATTAAGTAATCCTTCGCCATGGGTTCCCCTCAGAATGTTCAATTCTTTCGGAATGTCTTTTCGGAATGTCACCGCAAGCTGTGGTTCATCTGGATGCATTAAATTTGAATGGTTTAGTAACTGAGCCGGCTTGCCTACGGTATTTCGTTCGGCTGAGTTTTTGACTCAGAAAGAGCTTGGTGATGATTAGTGATGCGGCTCCTCGTCCGAGTATCCCTACAGCTTTTGCCGAGTTATAATGGCACACGCCGCTGTTCGTCATCATCCCCCTCAACACATTAACTCCTCGCTCCCCTAAGCCTTCATGGCTCGTAAATCCGCCGGCTTTCCGGAATAAAGTGCCTGTTCTTGTTGTTCGTCGGATCTTCATTCCCCAGTGCCTTTAGCCTGTTGTAGATCCGCTGTGGGCGGTATGGAGAGGTCTTCGGAAGGCTCTCCGCGGTTGCGGACTGCGCCCCGAGAAACCGCTCTTGATGCCTTGTCTTTTCAATGCGATGGTTGTGATGTTTCTTAAAGTAAATTGTATATATAGAAACCCACTGTAGAAGAAACTTGTTCTCTTGTTTCTTTCTCTTGTCGAAATTGAACAATAACCTGCTTCCTGAGACCAAAGCACGTCACTTACAGAGTCACCGGGTGCCGACATTGATAGGCGCAACATCTTCATCATGACAGCTACAGAAACCATTGTTGGTAATGATGCCGATACATATTCGGTCCCCGTGGCCGCAAATCAAGTATACGACAAGGGCATCATTTCGAATCCCCTTATAGCCAAAGACCTCCCCGCTGAAGTCCTCAAGAAAAGCACAGGCATCATCTTCACCGGCTCCGACAGTCCTTCTCTTCCCGTCAACTGGAGACTTGCAGAAGCCGTTTCGTCTCTAAAGGCACTGGAAGCAGCCTTGGTGGACGTTATTCTCCAGCGCCGCTACGGTCTCGAGCCTCACCGTGTCACCATCAACACCGACCACGCCAGTCTCTTCATCTTCTCTACTCTCCTCTGGACTATTGATCCGTCCGAAGGAGGGGAGAATATCAGCCCCAACAGCCTCCGTCAGGCAAACGCGAATCTGTTCAAATACTTTCCTAGCTGTGACAAGCATCGCATGAATGCTTCCACTCACCGCAACCTGGCAACCAATATCTACAAGTGCGCCGACGGTCGTTTCTTCCAAGCCCACGGGTCTCTGAATCCTACGCCGACGCTCCTCAACGTTGGTCTGAAAGCCGAAGCCGACGAGGACACAAATGTCTACGAGGATGCCGTCAAGCCGTTTAACGAAGCGTTTGCAAAGATTGACAGCCAGGCCCTGCAGCAAATCACGGATGAGACGCGGCAAGCTGGCACCATTTGCTACACTGCGGACGAGTTCCTGAATTCGAAGCACGGCAAAGCCAATGCACATATTGGGCTTTGGGAAATTCGTGAGACTGCGAACAAGCTTCAACAGCCTTGCTGGTGGGAAACGCCTAAATGTCAATCTGGTGTTTCTCGGCCACTCGCCGGTTAGTCGGACATTCAAATTGCTTACTCTCCCCTGAAGCTATTCGACGGTCTGCTAATACGATTGAAAAAAACAATAGGTATCAAAGTTGTCGATCTTACAAGAATCATCGCTGGGCCGAGCATCACTAGATCCCTGGCAGAACTGGGAGCCAGCGTGATGCGTTGCACAGCACCCCATTTGCCAGACGTTGCATCTCTTCAAGCTGATCTCAGCTGGGGAAAATGGAACTGCAGCATCGATCTCCGAGAGGAGAGTGGTCGACAGAAACTGAAGCAGCTCATCCAGGAGGCCGATGTCGTCGTCCAGGGGTACCGACCTGGCACTCTCGACAAGTACGGCTTTGGCGAAGGGGACGTCATCAAGATGTGTGAGAATCGATCCAAGGGAATCATTCATGTGCGAGAAAACTCATACGGCTGGCATGGCCCATGGAAGGACCGAAGCGGATGGCAGCAAATTGCTGACGCTGTTCGTTCTCGCCTCCCCCCTTTCTCTCCCTTTTTTTGTCATTGATCTAATTTTCTTCTTCGTCTTTTAGCATACCGGCCTCAGTTATTCTTTTGGTCAAGCCATGGGAGTTGATGAACCCGTCACGCCCATCTTCCCTCACAGCGATTATTGCAGCGGCGTTGCCGGTTCTTGCGCAGTCCTCATCTCCCTGCTGCGCCGTGCCGAGCGAGGCGGATCTTATTGCATCGATCTCTCCCTCAATTACTACAGCACATGGCTTATCCGTTCCGTGGGCACGTATCCCGCTCAGGTCTTTGACAAGGTGTGGGCTGAGCACGGCAGGCCTGTCTACCGCTACTGGCACAACAACGGCATCTCGGCGCCAGAAACGGTCAAGAGGCTCAAGAGCGGACCGGCAGGTAAGAGGATATTGCGCCCGGAGTTCTTCGAGGATCGACAATCACCGAGTGTGCTTGGAGGCAAGGTGTTTCGTGCGGTCAAGGGAGTTGCGGATTGGGGTGGCGTGGTTGATTTGCGATACAATGTTGGAACTCGTGGAAATGGGATGGATGCAGCCAGATGGCCAGAAGACTTGATGCAAGAAGTGGTTACAGAATGAGATTCACATGAGATGGATACCGATAGAGAGATGAAGACAATGCGTTAGAAAAGAGAGTTGATCTCTTCAACCAATAGAGGTAGTATTCGTCAGGCACTGGATATCAGACTCAGACTCAACGAAGCCCAAGTGAATAGTCCGTTCGTATCGCGGTGCCCCCCCAGCCAATGTTCTTGTCCTCTACTCATCTGCCCATGTTGAAAGGAATGCCATTATGGATTCTTCTTCAGCAGCAGTTGGACATTCTTCTCCACGACCTTGAAACGGGATGTAAGCTCGGCATTGGAGCCCTCCGCCCTCGCCATGGCCTTTCCCACCTTGTCAGTCTCCTTGAATAGGTGCTCTCGGATGTGGCCCTGCTCGCGCAGTATCTCGTCCATTTTCTCATCCTGCTTGGCTTGATTCTCTCGAATGAGAACGAGTTCGCGCAGTATCTCGTCCATTTTGTCGGTCTCTGCCGCTTTCTGGGACGGTGTCTGGATCCCCCGAGTGAAAAGAGGAGAGTCGCTCCGTGGATGCAGGGCGAGCTTGTTCTCGTTCGACACAGGCGCCACCATGGGCTTCTGATCTACCTTGGCCAATTTGCCGAGAGCTTGACTCTTCGATTCTGGAAATTCGCTCTTGATTGCTACTTTTCCAGAAGAATTGGCTGCCGAATTGGACGAAGCAGGGGCTTCAGCATGCTTCTTGCTCGGAGGTTGACCTTGGGCGATGGACTCGCGTTGACGCTTCTTGAGACCCCTTTGCCAGGGATGGTGCTTGCAGTATTCGTTGAAGAAGTTTTCCATCACATCAGAGCCATGTGCCGTCTTCACATGCTCCGCCAGAGATTTGACCTTGCCGTAGATGGCGTTCAACATGACATGGCGCGCCCACGTTGAGTTATTCTTGATGGCTTTGTACAGCTTGTGTTGGCTCGGTATGCCCTCGGCCGATTTGGGAACAATAAACGCCGACGAGGCCACAAGGTCGCGGTATTCCTGTTGATCGGATAAAGCCATGTTGGTTGCTTGGCGCCAGTATGCTGTAACGGCAGCGACGGCGTGGGAGAACTGAGGATGACTCTTGGCGATGGGAATGTCCTCAATCTCCAAGCGTAAGGGGGGAATGTTTGGGTTGGGACAGGGGTTCGGGTGAGTGACAAGGTTGGGCGCCATCGTGGGCATTGCTTGTTGATCCCGTCTCAAGAAGTGAAGGAGGAAAAGTTCCTCTTTGAGACGAGAGTTTTGGGATGCCTGTAGAAAGGCGACGCGAGTGGACGCGTTGGCAAGTGCCAGGTGGCAGCATGTTTGGCTGCCAGTTGGCAGAGTTTATCATGACAACTGCGACGCTCAACTACTTGGTAACTGAATTCGGATGCCAAGTTTGACTTGCTAGCCACTCTTTGCTAGTGATGCCTGACTTTGGACGAATACCATTCCTTGTCGTCTTTTTCCAATTAGAGTATCTCAGCTCTTTGGCTTGATCTGTTCGTCGAGTCGTCGTTTGCCAGAAGCCTCACTTACATGATGGGATAGCAGCGCATGGCCTTGAGTTCGATGTACCCCATCCCGGAACAAGTGCCGGCACAACATTGTCAAAAGTCTCCGATTCTAGGCATCACAACGTTGGAATGGTGATGAAGATGGCAAGTCAATCGTAGTGGCCCAGATGCGGGAGTGTTGGTTGAACAGAGTACATCTAGTAGATTTATACAGGTGGCCGCATGTACTCTACGGATACCGACCTGTTTAATACTGAAAACATTGATGTCTAATGCTCTTCTTACAGAGGAAATGTCTTTCTGCCTGCCTTTTTCTAAACATTGTTATTTTTCTGCAGTATCTGCCACCGAATTTGGGCATGAGATGCTGCATACATTCGAGGCAGCTTACCTCGGAGGTTGGATAGCACCACCTTGTAGATGTACTTGCGAGTTTACATGTTGTACTCATTGTCAGTTGAGTAAATAATGCCGCCAACTGACAATAAGTCATAAGCTTCTTATACGGTTTTCAACTGCAAAGCACAAGTCCGCTTTTCTGGCCATGTGATGGGCTGCTGGGTGACCCATTGCCCAAAAGGATCCGTCATCATTCGTTATATGGACAGCGCCTCATTTTTGTCGTTGTGAAGTGAGAAATGGAGAGTATGTTCATTCACTCACTCATCATTGAAGCACTAGCATGAATCCAGTTGTTTATTGGTGGGAGTTCATTCAGGAATGATCAATTCTTTCAGATAAGCAATTCTTCTGCTTAATGAACAGCATTGATGACTTGAGAGGAATGGTTATCAAGCACATGCGTATAGCTTCAAGTAAAGTAAAGGAATAAACGGTGGATTTCCTCCATCCTCCATCAGTGCCCGCACCAGTCATCTCCTCGAGCTTCAAAACAGCAACATGCTGGTCCACGGTAGACTTGAGCGAAGAGGTGGCCGTCGAGTGAACCGCTGCAGCAGTCAACGAAGACGGCTCCCAAGCCATCTGAAATAATCCAATACGCGTACGTAACAGAGATTGCCCGTCTCTCCTTTCGTGCACGTATTCACCTGTCACTGTACTACTAATATTCGCAAGCCTCGATTCATTTGAGACATTTCGACGCTTGGCGAAAATGCATTCACGAGGACCCAATCTCCGCTCAGCCCGATCGCGCTGGCATCTCCATTCTGACAAATGGCGGTTGGATCAGCTGTCTAGTAATTCCCTGTGGATGTTTGATTGCTTGTGTACCTACTAATAGCAATGAGGCTAATTACATCTGGTCCGTGGTGGTATCCGCATCTTGCAACGGTGATACCCATCTTCATTTATCCAGGCGCTCAAGGGTTCACCCCCAGATTGAGCTTCCAATACGAATCACGAAAGAGATTTTGCATCTAGTATTGCCGCTCTTTGGTATTACGGTTTAGACGACAACCTTGTCCCTTTGGTTCTACTTTGAGTCGAGCTCTTTTTCTTTTCTTTTCAATGTGCACCCATCAGTTGCAAAGTCCCATGTTGGTGCAGGGTAGCACGAGATCTGGGCATCAATACCATCTCTCACCACTAGCCGAGGACGTGAGAGTACACATGCAATTATGTCGCACTGCCTACAAGTATTGCGGCAACCACAGCGTTTTTACTCGCCTTTTACCGGTGAGTATTTGTCAGGCAATTGGGATTGATGGGAGTTGATTACGGCAGATGGCAAAGCTGGGGGCTGCTAGGCTGCCGCAGATACAGGTGGCGGACTCTGTACGAGTAAACGTGCAGTCCCAAATACATTACATGTACGAGTAGGTACTGTCTTGTATCCCCATACGGACTCTACGGAGCACACGACAGGCATCGTCATGTTGACCCCTGGGCCTGCAATGCCTGGCGCGGCCAAGATCGACATGTAGTCGGCGTTATGGTGAATTACTACTCGCAAAACGCTGACCGTTTGCTATGGTGATGATGTGACGAGCGATGGCTGCAAGGCCCCGTCCATGTGAAGCAGCAGCAATACATGTACCCATCACTGCCGTAGACATGTACGAGTATGCACGAGTACTTGTAGGTGCCAACATCGGACACGATACGCGTGTTGCTGGCCATTTGACGGGGTGATGTGATTGACTAACGGAGCGTGGCGCTCTCGCATAACAAAGGGCGCCAATGTGAAACGGGCTGCAGGATGCATATACCTAGGCCTCATATTGATCGTACCGGACAGAGACAATCTCGACGAGAGAGAGAGAGAGAGAGAGAGCACAAGGCGGCAAGGCAGGCAAAACACGAATGACGGCAGCGGCGGAAGTGGGAGCAGCAGCCCAGCAAATGAGAGCAACTGGCCCGCCACCCCTTGTCTGGTTGCTCATCTTATTCACCACCATGTAATCCGTGCTCCGTCCGCACTTGCAGACGAGGTTGTTGTGCGGAGTTTTTGGCGACCAAAGCTTGCAAAGCACAGCTCCCATCCGTGAGACATGCGCAGCAATCGGCAGCGACTACAGATATTGGGTGCCCAAAGCTTCGGGGGCAAATTTGACCTGTCAAACGCCATTTCTGTAGGGACATCATCACGCAGGGATCCAGTCGAGTTGAGACTGAGAGAGAGAGAGAGAGAGAAATCAAGGCCCGTTGCATCAGGATCGTACTGTAAGAGAAGCTTGTTCCACGTCGTCGAGGAATCAAGGATTGAACCCAAGGGAAATGAAATGACCGATTGTCGACCAGGTAATTAAGAGCGGCAATCACACGCTAGCACATGGATGGATGCCATTGATCCCGTCGTGTGTCGTGTCGTGTCCCATCAGTCAGCCTTGTGCGACCTCGACCTTTCAATCTTCTTTGTCAATCGCGCGCGCATGTGGCCGCATCGTGGAGAAGGACGACGGACACTTTTTTTTTTTCCCGTTCGTTTTTCTTCGGTTATCGCCTTGTCCTAATTTCCAGACTCCACGGGATGGACGGACAGGGGGGGAGAGAGATGAAGAGATGCTGTGTGTGCTCGTGCTGTACTGTAGAGAGAGAAGAAGAGTGAAAATGCTTTGTTGCTTGTTGTTTCGGATTTTGACGGAGCACGGAGCGCCGGCAGGTACCTGTGACGGCGTCGTGGTACGGAAGCCCCAGCACTCGCACAAGTCCAGGTACTCGCTCCCCCTGTTGCCCATGGACCCGGCTGCAAGATTGCTAAGCCAAATAAAGCAAAAGCCCAGGAACAAGCGAGAGCTGGAACTAGAAGCTCGGTTTTGTGTAAAATGGATCGATGATGGACCAGGGACAAGAAAAGCCACACAACGTCCTCGCATCAAATCTTTTCCATTCTTTTTCTCTCCGATCAGAGGCGGGCTTCAGGGCCTGCGGTGGCTTGGCAGGTGGCTAGTGCGAACCGGGGGCCCCAAGCGGACTAGCGCAGGCCGGTTAGCGCTGGGATCCCCTGGCTCTTGGCTGTTTTGGGCACAGGCGGGCGCTGGCAATTTCAGGGGTTCTTGGACGGCGCTGCAAGTACAGAGTACATGCACCTGGCCGTAGCCGATTTGCCTCCAGGTCTGTGTCCGGGTGTCTTGAGGCGCTGACATCGCGCTGCAGTCGAGGTACCGTGTACCGGCGAGCGTGGCACGGGGCGCTGCCTTGCCAATCCATCCTGCTGCGAGCTATTTCGCGGTGGCTTTTTAGGGGTTTGTGACAATTTGCGCTGCTCTGCGTGCTGGCTGGCTAGCGACTGGATTGGATTGGATTGGGCAGAGGAGCCTTGCCACGGATCAAGATTGCAGTCGAGGTGATTATCGTGGGTGCACGTTGTTGTTGGGCTAGGTCAAGTTAGGGGGCTCGTCCATCGCTTCAGCAGCCCCGAGGCAGCTACTGTCAATGGTCTGGTGCTCTGGAACTGCTGGCCGTGGGTGCTAAACACCACTAAAGCAGCTGCTTGCACACTGGACCAGACGTTTTCCCCGTGGATCAGGTTCCCTCCTCAGTCTACCCGTATTGAATATTTCCCCCCTAGCTTAGCACCTAGCAAACACAGCTTCTCCCCCCTTTTTAATATCGGGTCGAACAAACACCACACGTCTCGTCTTCTTCACTCCACCTCGCAGGCACGATCCCGCCCCGGCATTCAATTCTCTTGTCTCGTCTGCTCTGCAAGGACGGACCGCTCACGGATTCACTGAGCTGGGCCAGCCTGGATCTTACCGTGCTGGATAGTTGCAAATCGTGCGAGCATATCAATCCCAGCCCGTTTGCATGGTCTGGCGCCTTGTTTAATTAGGTACGGGATGGCAAATCCACCCAGCTCGAGGGCCCTGCCGTCTCCATCGCACATCCAGCATCCCAGCTCTGACATGCCCGTTTGATAGGCGAACAAGGACCCCCCCCAGAGACCCCCATCGCGACCACTCATCGTGCAACCGCAATATCCCCACGAAGCCCGCCGTCGAATCAGTGCCAGCCTGGCCATGCATTGCCTGTACTCGTACATGCGCACATCCCGACTATTCAGCTTCCAGTAGCTCTGTCCGACATATTCGTACACGCCACACGTGTACTGTACATACGCACCCGCATACACTCTTGTATCTTCTACCAGCACGAGTTCATGCACCGGCATCCCGTCTCCACCGGCCAGTGAGGCGCGCAGATTGGATCATACAGTAGTAGCAAGACAAGGGGAGAGACCACAAGACAGAGACAGAGAGGGACGAAAAAAGAAAGAAGGAATCAGCAAAACCATTACGAGTGCTGCTTGTTCTGGTAGCGAGCCAACGATCGGCACGGTTCTCTCGAGAAACCGTTCGTTGATCCTCCGTCTCTGACCATCGTCGTTCCTTTTCCTCCCCCCCTTCGGGACATCGTCAGCACGCTCTTTTTTTTTCTTTCTTTTCCCTCGCCTCGATTTCTTTCCCAATTCGCTCGTTTTTCCCGGTCCAGCGCCTGCTCGTGTCCGCGCCTGGGTCATCAACCTGCTGTCGCTTGTGCGCGTTTGCGCCGGCTTGTGCGCGCCGTCGACACGGGCCCCTACCTGACTGAGTAGCTGTTCTGGAGCTTCGCTGCCTCGGTGACATCTGGCTCCGCTTCGCTTCGCATCTTCCGCCATGGCCACTTCTCCGCCGGACTCGCCATCGCCAGCGCATAAGCTTCAGCGTCCCCTGAGCGCGATTGCTACTCGTCCTCAACCAAGGAGCACCAGTCGGTTGAGTATGAACAGCAAGCAAGGCGGCGAGAGCAGAGCCTCTGATGAGGACAATCGGACGGCTGTCCGTGTCGGTACGCATTGAGCCCTCTTCCAAGCCCTCAACTTCCTCCCCAAAAAAGCGTTGGTAGACTGTTCTCGTGAACTTTGGCGTGCAAAGGCGATGTCGTCGCTGCGCTTCGTCTCCCGGGCTAGTGCTGATTTCTTGATTCTGATGAGCTGACATGACCATTTTGCCTTCACTCTCGCAGCCGTCCGAGTGCGACCGGCGTTGAATCCGGACGATCCAGGATATGACTTGATTCCGCAGCGCTTCCAGCGCCCCATGGTGCACGTCACGTCCAACACGAGCCTTTCCATCGATTCTCCTCAGGGACGCAAGCTTTTCGTCTTCGACCGCGTCTTCGGCCCGGATGTTATGCAGGATGGCATCTGGGAGTACCTGACTGACAGCATCAGCGCCTTTACCCAGGGATACAATGTCTCCCTCCTTGCCTACGGCCAGTCCGGTGCTGGCAAATCATATACCATGGGCACAGCAAGTGCAATGGAGAATCCAGACGATATGGGTACGCAACTTCTTTTTGCCTGTTACTGACAACGGCAGATTCTGTGCGCAAGCTGCATTGCGCTCGTCATCTTGCGTGGCTAATCCTTCGTGCTCTCATATAGGTGTTATCCCTCGAGCAGCCGCTGCCCTGTTCGAAAAGCTGGATGTACAGAAAGGAGTTGTGAACAATGGCACCATGAAGAGCGCTAGTAGCTTCAGATCTCCTCGAGGATACGGCCAGCAAAACAACCTGGGCGACCGAAACTGGGCATTGACGGCCACCTATGTCGAAATCTACAACGAAACCCTCCGAGATCTTCTGGTTGCCGATACCACCCCGCTGAATGATCGAACCTCAGTTGCCATCCGAGAAGATGTCAAGGGCAATATCATTCTCACAGGCCTGCACCAGGTCGACATTACCTGCGTCGACGACCTTCTCAACGCCCTCGCATTTGGCTCCTCCATTCGCCAGACCGATGCTACCGCCATCAACGCCAAATCTTCCCGCTCCCACGCCGTCTTCTCCCTCAACTTGGTCCAGCGCAAGAACAAGTTTTCAAACTCCGACAAGCGCCACTCCATGCCCCTGGAAGCCATGAGTGGCCAGGACATATCCGTCACCACCGATAGCAAGCTGCACTTTGTCGATTTGGCCGGTAGTGAAAGACTGAAGAACACGGGTGCTCAGGGCGAGCGTGCAAAGGAGGGAATCTCCATCAACGCCGGATTGGCTGCTCTGGGAAAAGTTATCAGCCAGCTTTCGTCGCGAAACTCGGGTGCCCACGTCTCCTATCGCGATTCCAAACTCACGCGACTCCTGCAGGACTCGCTCGGCGGCAACGCCATTACCTACATGATCGCTTGCGTTACGCCGCCGGAATTCCATCTCAGCGAGACGCTCAACACTGTTCAATATGCGCAGCGCGCCCGTGCTATCCAGTCCAAGCCTCGAATCCAGCAGGTCGAAGAAGGGGATAAGACTGCCATCATTGAGCGGCTCAAGGCCGAGGTGGCCTTTTTGCGCGAGCAGATCCGCAGTGCCAACGGCCAAGGCGACCTCCCTCCCCGCAGCGCCAACAGGTCTAGCGAAAGATCAGAGAGACAAAACGAACGGGAAGCAGAGCTTCAGAACCAGCTGCTTGATCTCCAGGAAAACTATGGCACCCTGAACAACCGCCATGCTCGCTTGATTGCGGAAATGGCAAAGGCCCGAGAAAGCGAGTTCCAGCACCACCAGCAGCTGGACGAGCTCCAGGAAGAAAATGCAACCGACCGCCTGAACCGTTCAAATTCGTTTGCTCAGTCGGTTGAGCAGGTTGTTCTCGAATACGAGAAGACTATCCAGACGCTCGAGCAGTCCCTGTCGAAGACACGAACCACCTTGTCGAACACGGAGACAAATCTTCTCGAGAAAGAAACCAAGTGTGCCTATGTTGAGACTATCAACTCACAGTTGCAGTCTCGTATTCAGAAGCTCATGGACCGCGAAGCCAGCACCGAAAGCTATCTCCACGACTTGGAGGCCAAGCTAGATGGCCACAGCAGCGGTGAAGAGAAGAACTCGGCCATTATTGTTGAGTTGCGCAAGGAGATTTCCCGCATTCGCGAGAACGAGTCTGCATCCGAAGATTACATTTCAACGCTGGAGGAGCGACTTGCCGAGGCGGATCAGGACGCTGAGCTTATGCAGCGGGAAATCGAGCGCCTTGAGCAAGTTATCGAGAGACAGCGGAGTCTAGGCAAGCTGGATGCTTTGCTTCACGAGCTCGACCATGTAGACGAGTCTAAATTGCGCGACTCAGACGATAGCACCAAGGCGGAATCCACGGACGGCCACGACCACCAACTGGCCCAGGACAAGGATCAAGAGAATGGAGCCGAAGCGGCGACGTCAAAGCTCCCCCCTGTTGTGGAAAATGACGAGGACGCTGTGAATGCTGGCGATTCTGTGCCAAAGGCTTCCGACAATCAGACCGTCGACGACGTAGCTACAAAGCAGGCCTTTGCACAGTCCAAGTTCGTGGCAGACAAGCTGGAGTTGGTCACCCGGGAGCTCTTCGACCTTCGAACTGAGCACGAGACCACCGTTCATGACTATGGCAGACTGCACTCCAAGTACGAAGAGGCGATGCGGAAGCTGTCAGAACTCCAGGACACTATTGACGAAGCTCGCTACCCTGATCGGCTGCGCCATTCCATCATTTCCGTCGACGCAGCGACCGAGACTCGCCCCGAGTCTTTCCAGTCTGTTCAGACGAGCTACGCCAAGGATGATATCCGATCTTCGGCCCACCGATCGCTCTCCTCTGAGCTCTCGTCAGTCATGGACTCGCCCATCACGGCCGATACCACGCATCTCGATCTGGAGTCCGAAGACGATACGGCTACTGCTAAGCCCGCAGCGTCGGTTGAGGACCTGACTAGGGAGCTCGTGGAACATGTTAAGCTGCATGAGCAAGATGGACAGAACGAGCTGAAGGAGCCAATTCAGCTCAAGGAGCAGGTCGAGCATAAGGAGTTGGCTGAGCCTGTGGAGCTGGTAGAGTCCAAGGAGCACGTTGAGCACATTGAGCAGGTCCAGGACGCTCAGCAATTTGAATTCTTCGTTTCGCAGGACGATGTCAAAAACCAAGTGCCTGCCGAGCAAAATGAACAGCTTGCCATGGAGCTCGACAGACTCAGAGTTCTGGCCGAGGAGAAAGAGAATGCCGAAAGGGAATTGACCATGAAATACGCCCAGCTGGAACTCAAGCACAACGAGACCTTGGATATGGTCGAGGAGCTCAAGACCGAAGTTACCAAAGCCCGGACCGTCGACAACGGCCCCCGCGTGATCCGCCGAAAGTCGAGCCAGAATCTTCTTGGCGTGGATCGTGCTCAGCGATCATTCGTCTACTTGAGAAATCTTGCAGCTGAGAACTTTGAAGGAAAGCCCGAGACAATGCAGTCATTTGAACTGAACCTCAACTCGGCCATGCACGAGCTTCAATCTCGCAGTGAACGAATCCAGGAGCTGGAGTCTGACATTGCTGCGGCCAAGAAGGAGATGGAGAGCAAGATGGCCATCATCTCGGGCCTGGCGCGTGAGCGCTCTAGCTTGAAAGCCTCGCCCGTTGACATGTCAATGGTCGCAACCCTCCGAGGCCAACTTGAGCAGAGCGAGAGACAACTCTACGATCTTCGCGAGGCCCATGCCGTGCGTGAGCGAGAGTTGACGAGTGAAGTCGAGGTCCTCCGCAAATCTGTCGCATCTACTCCTACCCGAGAGTTCATGCCGAGTGACGAGGAAGAGGCCGATGTTCCATACAATGAGAGAGTGTCTACGCTGCAGGCAGAGCTGGCTGGGTGGGAGAGCAAGCACCACGCCGCTCTGGTATCTATGAGAAGCACCGAGAAGGAGATGCAGGCCACCATCCAACAGCTGGAGGCCCAGGTCGATGCTGCCAACGTTCAGCTGGCCGAATCCCAGTATCGAGCCGCTGCCGAAAAGGATGCTGATGCTGAAGAGGCCAAGAGGGAAGTCGTCAAGCAGCAAGAGCTCATTGAGTTCCTACGCGAGGAGATTGACGAGTACAAGGCTGTTATCAACAGCAACAACGCCAAGGTAGCAGAGCTCGAGTCTCTCCATCTTTCCGCTCGAGCGGCCATGGACGACATGTCCAAGATCCACAGCTCTGTAACAGCTGAGACAACCGCCCGCCACCAGGAACTTTCCGCCAAGCTTGAGGAGCTGATTGCTAGCCACGAAGATGCCACAAAAGCACACCAGGAGGAGATGGAGGTGCTCAAGCAGAGCCACGCCCGAGAACTCGCGGAACTGAAGGACCACGAACAGACTAGCTATGAGAAGCAGGTGGAGGTGCTCATGACTGAGCACTCAGAGGCTATTTTCAGGCTGGAAACAGACTTGGCTCAGTCAAGGGATGAACTGACAAGGGTCGCAACCCAGATTGCCGCCGTCTTTGGTGCAGAGATGCCACTCGAGAAGCTGGGCGAGCGGATTCAGGCTCTCGTCGCCAACCAAAATGCCGTTGAGTCAGAGCGCAAGAAGATGGGAGAGCTTACGTCTCATGTTACGGAGCTATCAACCATCAACGACTCACTCGTCCGGGATCTTGAGGGAGTCAAGACGGCGATTGCAGGCATGCTCCCTGGCGGCACAGAAGCCAAGGCTGGTCCTTTGGTAGACCAGCTTGCCGCAGTCAAGGCCAAGGTTGACGATCTCGATGGCCGCAACAAGAAGAACTCTCGTCTCATCGAAGAGCTCGAAGAACAACTGCAGCACAACTTTGATGAGGTTCAGGTGACCAATAACCGCCTGAGCTCGCTGCAGTCTGAGCGCAACGCCCAGCTTGACGAGGCGCTGTCCTCTCGAATCAAGCTTCAAACCGAGCTTGAAACAGTCCGCGAGGAATATGCTGCCCTCCAAGTAAGTTGTCACACACCCCTCCACGTCCTCTCATTATATCGAGGGTTGTGGTGCATGTTTTGGATGAGCCTAGCTAACCATGGTTGAATAGATCAAGTACAACGAGTTGGCCAATGGAGACGTCAAGCGATCCAACTCCAACTCGACAATCCGCAAGAGCTCCTCACACAACTCTCTACCATCGCCACCTCCTTCCGTCCCTCTGCCACCTCTGCCCAACGGTGCGCCCAGCTCTCCTACTTCGACACGCCCCCCAAGCAAGGACAACTTCAACATTTCTCAAGTCACCGAGGATCAAGAAGCCCGCATTCGTGCTATTGAGAAGCACCTCAGCGCCGAGCGCCAGCTTACTCAGACTCTAGAAGAGGCTCTGGGCGACCTGGAGAAGCAATCCAAGAAGGTCAAGGCAGACTGCGATGCTTGGAAGAAGCGTGCTCAAGAGCTCGAAGCCGAGGTTAAGGAGCTTAAGGAGAAGACGGACCAGTCACAGGACAACCGATACAGCATGCAAGCGGTAGAGGAGGAGCGAAAGAAGAGACAGGCGGCCGAGGCAGCCCGAAAGCAGCTGGAGGAGAGAATGCAGGCCATCAGCAAGAACAAGAAGAAGAAGGGCAGCCTGAACTGCTTTTAGGCGTGACGCTCCCCATGGACAAACGCAACTGTATGTGGGCACTGCAGGACTATACCCCAACTCTTTGCGCCTCGCAGGAACTCACTGCCCCTTACGGCAACTCGCTTTGGATCTTTTTTTTTTTCTTGACTCTTCATTCCGATGGGACCTCATTCTGTCTTACTTTCATGAAATTCTTCTCTCCGACTCATGATGCTTCTCCTATCCGGTGCATTTTGCCTCGGAGGAGAGGAAAACATTGATATCTTATCTGTTGGTATTGCCTGCTTGTTTTTTTCTTTCTTGATTTGGTTTCATTCGGCGCAGCCAGGAGTTATTGTGACCCTCTTAATTTTTTTCTCATCCTCTGTTCGAAACGTCTACTATATTCTTTTTTTTTTCTGCAGCGAGCAAACTGCAATGTCATTTTACCGTGTTAAGTGGCAGTTGTATGTCATGATGCGTGTTGTTTTACTCTATTTATTTGGTTTTTTCTATCCTTTTTTTATTTTCTGGTTGTCCTACTGTACAGTGTAGGCGAGGTGGTTATTATTCGATTTTGATGATACTGGATCGCGTGCGAGTTGTTGTTAACGCTGAAGGGGGGAGCTGTAAAAACACGAGGAGGGTTAACTGCATGGAGTCGATGGATGGCCATGTTATGAGACTCGGAGTTGATGTGATGGATTGGACCTTGTAGATTATTATATGTATACTCTGTAGATGGCTTTTCTTGTTTGAAGTGCTGAATGTGAGATGCGCCCCAATGTGGCACGGGTTTTTTCTTTTTATCACTTTGTTATTGTGCCATTGTCACCATTGTGAAGTTCTTTTTTTTTTTTTTTTTTACGTCTGGGCCATATGAATCTTCATGTTTGGGTTATGTGAAGCGTTGTAGGGTTTTCTTGAATGAGGGAGGTTTGCTGGTTGGATTTATAATGCGGTGTTTGAAGCGAGATGAATGATTCCTAAGCAATTCTCCTGTTGCGGTCGGTGGGGGAGAGTCATATTTACGGGGGGTGGATGATTTAATGATAGTTTGTAGATGGAAGCAGTGTGCAGGGGTAATTGGAGGGTATAATAGATAATGAGATAACTGAAAGATATATATTTTCATTTCGTTTGATTGCTATGGAGCTCTTCTGGACATTGAGCAATATGTTTCGTCATGATGGCTTCAACTGTGAGCTGTTCTTTGGCGGCAGCTAGAAAGAGAGGCGGGACAAATTGAATACAGAATTTCAATAATACTGAATTAGAAATAGAAGATAACAATAGCAGGATAAAGCATGATGATTTTGATGACCACCAGCTGGTGTAATAGGGATGTACTTTATATTTCCCTCCGTTGCAGTAGCATTATTAGGTACATTGCTAATGGTCGCTGTAATGCTTCTAACGCTGCAATTCTTGTTACAAAGCCTCCAGCCCCACCAGATTCTTCTGTCACTGATTCACGCCCTGTCTTAACCTCTCTCTTTCACCGACTCAAGCAATTTTACTTCTCATCCATCATTTGGTTTTTAAAAAAAGCCGTTGTTTCAGTTTCTCCTCTCTCCGTGATTTTTATACACTCATTTTGCTCCTTTGAGAGAGAACATGGCGAGGTCGGACGAAGCGCAGGCTTTCTTCCATGCGGTTTACTCTGCCGCTCAGCAGATTCCGTATGGAAAGGTGACGACTTATGCGCACATTGCTTATCTCGTTGGTACCCGTACGTTATTTTGCCCTGGATGTATAATTGGAGGGCGTTTTTCTCTTCTCTTCAATTGAATTTGCTGCTTGTGAGGAATTGGTGATGCTGATGAGGGCTATGAGCGGACAATAGCGCAGCGGCCGAGACAAGTGGGTGTTTGTATGAAGCATTTGCCTCATGACGAGGATGCTGTGTTTAATAGCTCGAATGTGCCCTGGCAGAGGGTGATTAATTCCAAGGGAGCGGTGTCACCAAGGTGGGGGTTTTTTTTGTCTTGTGTATCTCTGTTTAGCAGATGAATTTATTTGTCTGGCTATGCGTTGTTACGCAATACCATTAACGCTAATGTTCTTTAAGATCACAACCTTCGGGTGCCGCAAACCAGGCCGTTGAGCTGCAGAGGGAAGGCGTCGAAGTAACTCGGACTGCAATGGGAGAGTATACGGTCGACTTGGAAGTGTACGGATGGTTTCCAGAGGAATTGGCCGAGGAAGAGTGAAGAGGATGACAAGGTACGCATCAATGAAGAGCTGAGCACGGTGTATTTCATTGAGGAATCATGACCGCTCAATTGATTAACAGTATGGATTATAGATTACAAATGTGTACATATGCAAGATGATATATGAAGTATACACAGTTTGCTTTTTGGTTGCTTCGCGGCATATTGGGCTTCCCCCACGAAGAAACATGCAGCCTTATCCTACACGCCATTATCCATGTTCATCCTCCATACGGGCCTTTGGCCGTCTTACACGGCCTGGAATCCTTGTGGTGCCGAGGAAGTCTGAGCCACTCCGCTGTCTCGCGGCTCTGATGGTACGTGCTCCTTTGCCCCGGTAGTGCTGTTGCTGTACTGCCTGTCACCTGTAGGGATGGTGAAACCTGCAGGAGTCTTCTTGACAGTGTTGTCGTCATCTTGGCCGGGATTGGCAGTGTGATACTCCAACCACTTGAGAATGGTGTAGACGGCAAAGGCGAGAAGAGAGCCCAAGAACGGCCCAACCCAGTAGATCCACTGGTAACCCGTGAAGTCGGTGATGACGGCCGGGCCAAACGATCGCGCTGGGTTGATGCCGGTGCCGGTGAAGTTTGTGCCGCAAATGTGGGCGATGAAGACGGCGAGGCCAATGCCCAGGGGCGCCAGGAACGTGGCCCGGTGCTTTTCCACGGCGAGGAAGTAGACGGTGATGACGAGCTGCGAGGTGAGGAACATTTCGATGAAGAGGCCACGGGAGATGCTGGTGCCGGAAGCAAGCTTGTTGGCTACAAGCAGAGGGCCGGGCAGCAGGGCATCGGTGACTGCTGCGGCAGCGATGCCGGCGACGATTTGAGTGGGAAAGATGAGGAGACCACGGATTGGCTTGACTGCACCGACAAGAACGAGGCCAAGCGTGACCTTGTGGCTGGAATTAGTACAAATGCTATGATGAGACCGGGAGAGTCTTGCATGATGAGAGATTCAAACACTTACAGCAGGGTTGAACATGCCGCCCGTCACTCGGTAAAAGACCCATACGTTGACGGCCAGCGCAGCTCCGAAAGAAGAAGCAACATACAGGAGGGAAAAGGGGAACAGAGGCGCGTCGGGGTTTGTTGGATCGTTGTTGTCGATGGCGGCCTGGGTGCCGATGAAGGACATGAGGAGGAACATGAAGGTTCCGCAGAATTCGCCAAACATGACGACGATCTCATTGCGGATGGGTTCGCGCGGAGCACGGGGGGAGTAGACGCGATGCATGTTGGGCACTTTGTCGTCGTGGTATGCCTTTATGAGGGGGTGAGTGATGGATGTTGTTGGTGTATATCGTAGGCTTGGGATGATGGGAGGGAACACGAGGAATCTGGATATGGGATTTGGCTTGGTTGATCTATATATATACTGCCCGATCCTGTGTGATACAAGAGTGATGGCTACCTACCTATAACAAGAACATTTGCCACAGTAACTTTGTGACAGCTCTCTTAGTATTCTTCAATCCTCTGTACTTGCACCTTCTTCCCTGAACTAATCCCGCCTGTGGAGCTTTCTGACGAGACATCTCAGCTAGATAAGGTGCAGAGGCCGGCCCTGATTGAGTTTGAAAGCCACAAAAGGGCTTTTTCTCATGAATGGACACTAATAGTGCTATCCCGGAATTAGTCAACAGCACACAAGTATCGAGAGTGGTGCTGACACGGCTCAAGGCAGGGAGGTCGTATGTATTTACGCCAGTTTCATCGGGGTATCTATGTGAACGGAATGCCTAGTATGTCATATATAACAGAATTCCAGCCTTACAACGGACTGGCATGAAGGCTACTGGCTTGTGTAGAAGTTCTGTTGGTGTAGCGTCCCAAGCCTCTTGCATAATACCTCGCAACCGATCAGAGGTTACAGCCTCTTGCGGGTAGGTGTTTTGGATCTCATCTTTCATCTAGTTCTAGATGTTGTGTTGTATTAAGGTCAAGGTCAGGTCTAAAGGACGGCCAATCAATAACTCGAACACCATGGACAGTCAGTTCCTGGAGAGTGTTAGTAGTAGCGTAAGCAGGTGCATTATCTTATAGTGGGTTGGATGTCTTCGAATCCAGCCGTGGATTAAAGCTACACTTCTTTTGCAATAACTGGCCTTGGTGAGGGAACCACATTCCTGTTCCGAGAAAAGGCAAGGACTTTTGTCTGCGTTGGTGGAAATGTATCCCGAAAACATCCAATCTCTCTTCTGCATTTACTTAATAATCCAGGCTGGATCAAACTTTTCACCAGCTTTTTAAGCTACCCAAGCTCTCTCATGGAGAGCTTGGCAAAGCCCAAGTCTCGTTAGACCAACGGATCGCAGCCTATTGCGCGAGAGTTCAGTCGCGATGTTCTAATCCTAAGCCAGCTGAAGCTGACGATTCTTCTTACAAACTAGCTGGTGGTTGGTTTAACTCGGGCGACTGTGGCGTTGATGGCCCAGTTTCCCTAACGCGTGGCGAATACAATTGAAACCCCACGTTCTAACCAGGTGCATTGGAGCTGAAGAGGCAGAATGCGGCGTCAAGTTTGGTGGATCAATCATTGACGGAGATGGCAACGGCTGTGGCTGGCGATTGCGGCCACAAGATTCGAATTGGCGCTCCCCCCAGGGTGCTCGTGTTCTCCTCGGTCCAAGTACTTGGCTCCAAGTGTTAATTGGCCTGAGTGAAGCATGTTGAGAACCGAAGAGCGAGGTAGAGATACAGGAACAGTAGATGGCATCCCCCTCCAGCAGAGATGCCCAGCCCAAGCATCGTATTCTTGCAATCGGTGGTTGCACTACCGGTGCACCATGACTAACTAGAAGCAATGTGAGTGCAAATACAACTCGGCCGGCACTGTTGCAAACAACAAAAGCAACCAAATTTGCCCACGATCATAGAGTTGACATATGCAGAACATAAGGAGTCGCCGTGCCCACTCTTGGTGTCAACATGCAGCTTACACGCGGGAGCCCCGTCACAATTGAACATTTGAAGCTGAACTTTGATGGCCCGTCTGACTACACCCGAAACGTCGTCGCCAAAACTGTTGAACGGCACAATGGTGGACTCTGCTCGGCTGGGATTGTTTTCCCCAAGCGCCCTCGCACGAGCTGGAGACGCCGCATCCGTGGTTAAGGTTTCGTACCAAGGCGCAGCCACAACCAGCCCGAGAATTCCGGTTCGTGATGATCCCGCGGTTCGGATGACTTGGTGAACCCGACTTCTCTAGATGTGTTTGTCCTGACGATCCCCCGCGGGCAGTAGTAGATAGAACGGCCTCCCGAAGAAGAGCTAAGCTGAAGTGGTAGCTGTATTTGGTAGAACAGGACCCTGAGATGCCGAGTCGCGGGTGACGGATCTATGTTGAGGCTGAGACATTGGCTTCAACATCCTGGATCCTTGAGTGCGGCTCATAGAATACATGGAGGGTTGAAATGGTCACTGTGAGCTTGGTAGAGGTTGAGCGGGAGGCGGCGTCGGCGAAGACCGCAAAGCCATTCCTGGCAATCACAAGATGTCACAGGAAGATTCGACAATCAAAGTTTGTTTTGCTTGTCCCCAAGCGAAGAGCAAGAGACCCGTTCGTGGTGGGACCTCTCATAGGCCAACAATGGTTCTGCGTAGGACGGCACAGGGAAGCCTCACAAGACGCGGTGGCGCGGCGCCTCTTACCTTTCCACAAGAAGATGGGAGGGACTCTACTAAGATGGTCAATGTCATACACGGGTGAAAGATTGATGGAGTTTGGAAGAAATCGTTATTCAATTATTCAAGCTCATCTTTGTCATCGTTCCATCATTACTCGTGAAAAACCTATCCCGTCTTCTTTCAAGCGTACTTGATGTCACCATCAATGGGACGGGGCCCGCTGTCTGCATACGAGGGAGGGGGAGGAACATATGGATAGCTTTGTTGCTCGGTTGAGGGCCCTTGTCCTTGTCCTTGTCCTTGTCCTTGTTGAGGATAGTAGCCCTGAGGAGCTGGCTGCTGGTGGTGCCCTGGACTCGCAGGAGGCTGCTGCTGCTCGTGGGATGATGCTTGCAAGACGCCAGCCTCGGCCCCCCTCAGGACGCCGAATAGCGTCTGAGCTCCAGCCGGCCACATTCCTGAAGGGCCTTGGGATGGGACTTGGCCCTTTAGGATTTGGTCTACGGAGACGGTTTGTCCGTAGAAGGCAGCGTTTGCATCCTTGCGTTCGGCTACGACGGTGCCGTCAACTCGGATCCCGGCATAGAAGCCCCGCGACTTGACATATGAAAAGACGGGCTTGGTTGCGCTGGCGCTGAGGCTCCGCCGGTGGCTCTTCTTGTCTGCCGCTTCGGGTGGCTGCAAGCTTTGCTGCTGCTGCTGCTGAGACTGTTGGTCCTGTCCTTGCCCTTGTGCTTGTCCTTGCCCTTGTGACGACGGAGGCCGGCCGTCGTCTCTGGCCGTCCTCGCATCCAGGGATGTGCCAAACTCAACAGCCGCACCGGCACCATAAGGGCCAGCCACCACGGCTAAATCGCTGCCCAGGCTAACGCGAGTGTTGGTGAAGGCGGCGAGGGCCTCCCTGTTGTTGATGACACAGACGCAGTCGTAGATGTCGAGGCCGATCTGGAACCCTCCGCCGACAGAGTGCAGCTGGATGCCCGAGGGAGGACTCCAGCTCCCGTCGGGCAGTCGAGCAATGAGGATCCCCGACCCTGTTGCGCCAGATATCTGGAAGCCGGCGCGGAGGGTGGTGAAGATGGCAAGCCCAACGGCCTTGGAGATGATCTTGGGAGGGATCGTGACAATGACGCGGTTCTTGGGCTTCTCCTTTGTAGGGTCGATGACTCTGTCGGTTGACTCTGTCGCGTTGGGGTCGGTCGAGGTGGGCACCGAAGTGGCCGTAGGGTCGGCATAGACTCCCTTTTCTAGTTTCACGATTGAGTGAGCAAAGGTCCCACGGCATCTCAACTGACAGAGGAACAAACAAACTTACTGCAGAATGCCCTGAGTATCGTCGCTGCCTTTTCGCACTCCTTGTCCAGCGTCTCGGGGAGGAAGCTCTGGCTGCCGAGCTTATGCGCAATGCTGTTGATGGGCGCAGCGGCCTTCATGCCCAGGGCAGAGAGGCGCTCGCTCCAGCCAGTCTTGTGGTGTCCCTGCTGTTCATCGCCAGATCCGTACTGGGGAGATGGAGGCGCGTGTTGCTGGTACTGCTGCTGGCCATCTGCCTGAGGCTGATATGCCGCGGGACTGGGAGGTTCGTTGAGGTTGGTGTTGGATGGGGGCGGCGCAAAGACGGGGTTCGCAGGATTGTAGGCGGGGATGGAGTAGCTGGAGGTCTGCTGTTGTGGCACCTGAGCCTGGGGGTTGTATGATTGCTGCTGTTGACCGTGTTGTTGTGAGAAGTCTTGCGGCGGCTGATACTGCTGCTGTTGCTGAGGTTGGTAGTTCTGGGATGGTGGAGGTCCAGGCGGAGGCGGCGGGAAATGCTGCTGGCTCGTTAGTTGAGGCTGAGCACTCCCAGGCTGCTGGTCTGTTGGCCGGTGATCCTGTTGCTGGTGTTGCTGGTGAGCATCTTGCTGGTGAGCATCTTGAGGCTGGTAGGACTGCGACTCGGGCTGCTGAGGAGGCGGCGCAAACTGGGGATATGGCTGTTGCTGCTGCTGCTGCTGCTGCTGCTGAGACGGAGGAGGTCCAGGAGGAGGAGGCGGGAAATGCTGTTCCGTCTGGGGAGGCTGTTGATGGTGATCTTGCTGCTGCTGATGCTGATGCTGCTGAGGTGGTGGAGGTCCAGGAGGAGGAGGCGGGAAATACTGCTCCCCCGAAGCTTGGTTCTGGTGAGTCTCGGAGCTGGACATTGTTTCTGCAGCTTCTGATGCCGTATCCGTATTCAATTCTTCAGAGACGATTCGACGAGTCTATCGTTGAGTCCCCTTTCAGTTACGGTTGTGCGTACATGTATGTATGTATGCCCCTCGCAGCGTTGAGATCCAGTTGATTGCGGGGGATTCGCCAAGCGTCCGTCATGATGCCAGCTTCAGCGGGGAATCCTTGACGACACGAAGCAGATGACTAAGCCCGAAGATGTCGTCTCGATTCTGTTGGCTGTTTGAAGTAGCCATGGTGATGGCGATCTGGGTATCAACTGGGGATGTGATTTTCAAAGGGGGGGCGATTATGTACAGGGCGAGAAGCAGAGCAAGCGAGGCCCTGATGAAAAGCTTGAATCTCGTGTACATGAATGCCCTTGTCGTGGCACAAAGCTGCACTTGCATGATGCATGACGCATGTCATGTCACGTAAGAAGTCGAGAACGAGGACACATATGCTGCCACATTGAAGATGGATCGGATTCCAGCGTACGGTATTGATTGTAGAGAACAAATCTATAGAAGCATCAACTTCCCTCATTGCATCCTTTCTAAACTCTTTGCCCGCCGTCTATTCATGTTTATATCTCTTTGGCCTAGTGGAATGGGTTAATCAATCCCAATGCCCAGTGCGTATAAGTGCGGTGCCTCGTCCAAACGTAAATCAAGCACCGGCTCCGTTGATCCAAAGAGCCCAGTTCTTCTCCCCGTCCCTTTTCCTTGCGCCAATCCCATGTTGTCTGTTCTTATTTTTTGTTTTTTTGCTCGTCTTGCAATGTTTATGGAATCAATGCCTTTACCAGGCGTCGTCGTAGTAAAACTCCATGCCTGTCCTCTCGGCCAACTGCAGTATCATGTTGACGGTTCGCTCCACGTCTTCCCGCCGGATTGGCAGCCGGTGGCCTCCATCCCACTCAAACCGCGTCGCCGTCCCCCTCTTGCTATACTCGTACAGCTTCCTGTGGTTGAAAAGCGCCGGGTCTTGCAGCCCGTGGATGTGCAGCGTCGGCGTCAGCACCATGTGCGCTTCGTCTTGCGTGCCCTGTACGGGCCAATCGTCGTAGTCGTACGACATCCTCTCGCCGGCGTGGATCAAGTGTCGCGGCTTGGTCAGTGTGCCTGTGCGATCGATGTGGACGATGGGCCCGGGAGCGGACATGACGACGGCGAAGCGGAACGTGATGCCCGGCAGCGGCCTCTTGGAATCGTCCTCGATGTGATCCTGAGCCCAGAGAAGACTCGACGAGATGACGCCGCCCTGGGAGAAGCCTATCAACCCCGCCCATTCGCCGGTGCCCTTGTCCTGATCGATCGCGTCTTGGAGCTGCTTCGCCAGTTTCTGGGACGCAACCACGGGGTCCATGGTCTCGTGCGCGTCTTTGTAGACCAGCCACCGCTTGAATGGCGCGAGCTCACCGAAGATGTTGACTACAGCCGGGTGCGCTTCATCCTCCATGTGGCCGTCGACAAAGACAAACCGAAACTTGTCCCTGAGCTTGCCTATGATGGCTCGGCATTGGATCTCGAAGACTTGGGCATTGACGCCCGCGCCGTGAATGCAGAGGATGCGCGGCAGAGTGAGATCCTCCATTTTTCGCAGTGACCGTGTGTGTCTGTGTGTGTGTGCCTCTGGTGATGAGGGAATCGAAGCGGCTGTTTGAGGACACGGGCGGTGTTATATCCATGCATATGCTGCTCGTCTTACCTACATACGAAAGGATTATTAGGGGTCCATATGCACGAAGATGGAACCCCGCACGTTAGGGTAATGTTCCATTGCTGGTCCATGTGAGATCGGCCCTGTTTCTTATCATGCTGATGGGGATCGTATTACTACTGCGTGAGCTATATACTAATGATGCTGTAAACGTGGGGAGTGGAAGATGTGGCACGAGCTTCAATTGCCTATCAACTACGGAGTCCGAAATGGTATTACAATGAGGAGAACCGGACACAGTGCAACGTACTCGTACTCTGTAATGATGAATCCATAAAGCTGACCACATACTGGGTATAGAGCGTGGAAGTGCCCCAGCATTACAGGCTTGCAGACTACATCAACTGGTAGCCATTGGCGAATCGTATTATTGCTAGCTATGTAGATACCCAACCCATCATCTACCGGAATGAATATAGTTGGCATACGCTCCCAAACCCATTAGAAAAGAGTTCCATCTCCATCAATCAATATCGGGCTGGATCTCGTCTCCGGTCGATGCTTGGCCGCCAGCTCTCTGCCGCTCTTCCAAGACCCAGCCTCCAGCAGTTGAGGAAGAGAGAGGGAGACCCCCTGTGGTGCCAAGATATCATTGACGAGCTTATGCAGCTCATCCAGGAGAGCCACCGTCATGGCTCGCCATTCCACAATCACATCTCCGGTGGACGAGAAGAGCGGCAAGGCTTGGCCGGAAGCCTCGATTCCTTTGCTGAGCACTTCGGGCTTCAGCTTCAAAACGCCCATGTCGACAAACAGTCCTCCATTGCGGTATTCGGGCAGGCCGGTTCCCGTTTCAATGTTGATCCATTTCAGCTTCAAAACCTTCATAAACGGCACGGTGAGGGAATATCCAAGCCATTGGGTCAGCTTGTGGAACGGATGGATTCCGGCAGTTGGGTTTTCGCCATTGCCAGACTTTTCCTGAAGCACGCGAAGAGGCCATGCGTCTCCAATCGGCTGGTCGTTGATGCGTGGGCGGTTTGATGGCCACGCAGGGAGGAGAATGCGCTGGAGGATGCTCCAGAGAGCTTCATAGTTGAGCTCCTTGTCCTTGCCATCCTTGAGTAAGTAATCTGAATAAGATTCATTAGCATTGCTTTACTTTAGTAACGAAGCATATTGCATGCTGAAGAAAGACTTGCCAACCAGCAGTCCAGGACGACCAGTTTCCCCGAAAATCTCCGGAATAGAAAGAAGAGACTTTCCAAAGTTGTTGAGCAGCTCAATTCGCGATGCAACACCCACCATTGGATTCTGGGGGCTGATTTGGAAGTGATGAACGAAGGCGTCTTCGGTGAGCTTGCCGAGACCATGTCCTGTGCAGTGTTAGCTGGGGGTGCCAATCATTGGCAAGCCAAAGGAGGCAAACCAAAAGAGGAGGGGGGAAATTACCATCTACTGTAGCCTTGTTCCCATCTGTGGCTGAACTAAAGGCTCCGTCGTTAAACATGTACAGCGAGGCTACGGCGATGCCTTCACTTCGCCCATACGCCTCGTCGCTGCCAGGCTCCCGAAAGGCCCAAGTGTCACCCGCGCCAGCATCGAGCAGCACAGACACGAAGAAGAGGTCGATGAGGCGGCGCGTGATTTCCACGTCGTCCGCTTGACTGTCTTGCCATTTCTGGACCAAGGTTTCCAGCCGGGTGATGCCTCCGACGCTGAAATGCTCCCACCTTCCATGAGGCGGAATCTCAGCGTATCGATCGGGGCCAAAGTCTCGCTGCACTCACGCCGTTAACAATGCCGAACGTCCGAGCCTGTCGATGAGAAAGAGAGGTTGGCGGAAATGGGCTTACCGAAATGACGCCGGCGACGAATTCTGCCGTCTCTTTCATCCGGCCCTCGTCAAGCACAAAGTTGTTGAGGCCCCCATTTCGGGCCGCTTCTAAGACGATCCGTGAGCGCTCTCGGACCGCGCGGAGACTCTTGAGATGTTCAATCTCCGATGCAAGAGTAGCCGCCATTGTCAGTAGCCAAGGTTATCAACGCCTGAATCAATATAAAACTATTTGATTGTTTGAAGAAGCAAAGCAAAGCCTCGAGATGGGCACGAGACGAGACAGGATATGACACGCTCCCAATGCCGACCCAACGATGATGCCCCGCTTAATTCTCACCCAGGGGCGTCTTTGTTCCCCCGCAAGCCGTGGCTCGGAGCTTGCCGAGAGGCACCGGACACTGCCGTTTTACTATAGATCGGGTTGTTCTTTGCAAGTGGCAGATACGAGGGAGCAATCGAAAACATTGATGCGAGTTGATGGTGTTTGATGGAGAGGAGATGTAAGAAGTAGATTGCGGTGACGGGGTTGAAAATCCAGCTGTGAAATGTCCCTCTTTACCTTCATCAGTGTGTGGCTTTTTTTGTGTTCAAGACTCGAAGTTTGCCATCTAGCATCCCGTGTCTCAAATTTCAAGCTGGTGGCGATACCAGATACTAGAAGAATATAGCCATGGTACAAACACTAGAAGAAAGTAGCAATGATGGCAAATGCATTTAAGCAACTGGCATCGGCATCATCTACAATAGTTGGCTCGATGCCTGGTTCAGGCCAAGTGGATAAGCCATCGTGTTCTCTGCTGACTGATTGTGAACAGTAGACTGAGCCAAGATCTACCTGCAAATTCATCAACTTTCCGTGGCGCAAGGCTCGGTGGCAGCTTAATGAACAAGTTTCAGAGACTCGAATCACATCAAAGGGATGGAGATGTAGTAAGGTAGGTATGTACGAGGATATGCATGTCCGTTGCAGCGAGTTTGCATCTATTCAGCAAAGCGCCCAATGCGACCCGTAGGCATTCTACCGCGAGTTGCTAGTAGGCTCGGCGAATTACACATGGAGTGAGTCCTTTAAAACGATGTAGATATTTGTTTCTTTATGCCGGATATCGGGCAATGGAAAAGGGGAAGCGGCAGAAGAAGGACTACTGCAACCCGATACAAGGTGGTGCATGCAATTCCTCGGCATCTTGCGAGTGCCACGCTTGAGATCGCCGCTCTCGGAACATCGCCATTTTCCTGACGATACACGACGATTTGGAAGATGCTACGCCGAGTTACCCGTGCAAGAAGAGATTCCCGAAAGACATCCATATTCAATAATCTAGAGCTAGAGATAGCACAGGCATCTCAAAAGAGACATGATCAATTGATAACTTACCGGATACATTCCAGCCGCGAGGAAGATAAGGATCAAACGCATCGACACGGTGGGGCAACACAAAGCTCGCGTGTTGCATCTCCATCCGTTTGCCAGTTATCAGCATCCGCCATGTGTTACCCATGCAAGAGAGATAAGGGCAGATACTGTAGATACCTACAAGATGCAAAAGAATGCTGCAAGATGAAAGATATCAGAATCAGTGTCCGCTTCAGGCTCGACCAATGTACAGACGTGAAATCATCAACATCAAGCCCCATCACCGCAAACGGATTTACTCCACGCGTTTCCCCCTCTTCCTCAAGCGCAAGATCGGCATCTTAACACACACGACCCCCATGTAACCAATTTGATCAACTGCCGTGTTGGCACATAGCTTGTGTCTTGTGACGTCGATGCAACGCTGATCCAATCATCCAATCGCTGTGTCTTAGACGGCAAGACGGCCAATGTCCGATGCACAAACCGGCAAGACATGGCCGAGATAAAGACCATGAGATCCCGGTCTCGAGCTCGTTGCTTCTGCTTTGTGTCCTCCTCTTCCATCGCGATGTGGCCGTGAGATTGCGCTTATGACTATTTCCGTGCCATTCGTTGAGAAGAGAATCTCATCGTGACAGCGACCATGCGGAGCCACGATTTGGGCATTGACGAGGCTCAGGTCCCCGGAACGGTTTTGCTCGTTGATGTTGGGCATACCGCCGGCACTCTGCATGCTACCAAGCAAAACGACATTGTCCTCATCCCAACGCCATCAACTGATGTAAACGACCCTTTGAATTGGTCGCCATGGCGGAAGCGCCAGCACCTCATGTGCCTGATTGCGTGAGTCTGCAATTAATCCTGCATGTTATATTGCGCTCCATAGCCAGTGTTCACATGAGACTAATATCGCATCTGTGTCTCCCGGCCTAGCTACACTATGTTCAACGGCATGGCATTGTCCGTCGTGTATTCACTCTTGGTTCCGCTGTCCACGGCTTTGGATGTTAGCGGTAGGACATGCAACAATCCCCACAAGAACAGGATTCGAGCGCTTGACTGATGGATTGTCTCTTTTACAGTTGGCAATCTCAATGAAGGAACGGGATACATGTTCTTGTTATGCGGCTGGGGCCTGCTTTTCTGGCAGCCGTTTGCCCTCCAATATGGCAAACGACTGACATACCTTCTGTCCATGCTGGGCATCGTTGTAAGTGATGGATATCTGGATGATGATAGTTCCGAACTCTCCCTCAAATGAGATCTGACATTCGTAGGCCGTCTCCGTTTGGAGTCCATATGCCAAAGGCCAGGGCCAATGGATTGCCCGCAACATCATCGCCGGCTTTGTTGCCGCACCCATCGAAGCTCTACCAGAAACGTCCATTACGGACATTTACTTTGCCCATGAGCGAGGCACTTACATGGGATGGTATGCGTGGATTCTAGCTACTTCCAATTACTTTGCGCCAGTCATCTGCGGCTTCATCAACGACAGCATGGGCTTCAAATGGCCCTTTTACTTCATGGCCATATTCGGCGGAGGCTGCTTCGTCTTCCTATTCTTGTTCCTCGAAGAGACAAACTATGATCGTCAGCCGTTGGAAATCATCTACGCCGAAGATACTCACAAAGGGTCGGGTGAAAAGACAGCCTCATCATCACCAGGGGCGGCGACTGGCAACGAGAGTGACGAGGCAGCTCTTCCCCAGGACAATGTCAATAGTGTCATGCTCCAAGGCAGTGAGAAAACTTATTGGCAGAAGCTCGCCCTGCTTGATAAACCGCGGCCGTTCTTGATGCATAGGCGCGCGTGGCAGATTCTCCGATTGATTGCCTGGCCTGTCGTTTTCTATTCAGGGTTTTCGTACGGCACGTATCTCGTCTGGTTCAATATCTTGAACGCAACATCATCCGTTGTCCTCGGTGGCGCGCCGTACAACTTCAAGCCAAGTATCGTTGGTCTGAGCTATCTGGCCTGTGTCGTAGGCGTTATTCTTGGGTAGGTGCTGTCTTTTCTATCCTGCTCAATCCGATACATATCCTCACATCTTCACGACTGGCGACTAATGCCATCCATCTCATAGGTCTGCTTACAGTGGCATCGTCTCAGACTGGTTCGTCATCAAGCTTGCGCGACGTAATCGTGGCATTTTCGAGCCCGAGCAACGTCTTTGGCTTTTCGCATTGACGACGATACTGGTGCCGGCTTGTCAGATCCTCTGGGGTGTCGGGGTAAGCAGCCGAATTACCTGCCCAACATCCTGGGAAAGAAATGCTAACTCGACATAGGCCGCCCATCATGTCCATTGGTTTGGACTTATAGTTGCCATGTGCATACTCGCAGCGTGCAACACAGCTGGCATAACCTTGTCCATTGCATACCTTGTTGATTCGTACCGAGAAGTGTCGGGAGATGCGTTGGCATCATGCATAATTATTCGCAACACAATGAGCTTTGCTATAAACTATGGCATTACGCCTTGGCTGGATGGCCTGGGATTGCAGAATTGCTTCATCAGCGTTGCATTTATTGCGCTGGCCATCTGTGCCATATTCCTGCCATTTATCTGGTTCGGCAAAAGGCTTCGTAACTTGAAACGAGAGAGTTATTGGCGAGAGGTCAAGCTTAGGAGAGAATAACGAGACATTACTCAATCACATGGTTGAGTAATCACGATCTTGTGTACCGTTTACTTTGCCCGTGTGTGAATGAGCCGTGTTGGTAGGCAGGATCATGGTGGCGACACAAGCATCATATCACAGAATATATAAAATTGGCTACTTGTATATTCGTAGCATACTATACATGGATAGGGATGGGTTCAAGTTGTGCATCACTACACTCCGTTTATCTTGCCATTGACACTCGGCAGCAATGACTGGGCAATTCGGTCCAGCCCATCTATGACTGTCACCATTTCTTCGCCACTTAAAGCAGGATGTATAGAACATATCCTCAGCACCAACACTCCTTTTAATCTTGTCGTCAATGGCGCGGCCAGACTCTGCTCAGTCGCTATTTGAGAAATTTTCGTGTTTAAGTCGTCCAAGCTTGCTGCTGGGATTCCAGAAGGCTTGTATCGAAAACAAATAATGCCCATCTGCGCTGAAGATACAATCTCCCAGTCCGGCAGGCGCTCCAATGATGCCTGTGCTATCTCTGCCAGTTCGAATCCGTGGTTGATAGCATCGTCAATTGCATCTAGACCGAGGAGTTGGAAAGAGAACCACAGCTTCATTGCTCTTGCAGGTCGTGTAAGTTCCGGCCCATAGTTCCAGAAATTGGGCAATGACTCGGCTGTCTCGGCAGCGTCTTGAGTGTATTCTGCAGTTGTTCCAAAGCTTGAGGTGAGTTTTTTGCGATTTTGAACGAGCACCATTCCGCAGCCGTAGGTCTGAAAAAGCCATTTATGAGCGTCCCAAGAAAGACTGTCGCAGAGTTCAATGCCGTTAAGAATGCTTCGGCGGAATTTGCAAAGCAAGGCAGATGCACCGTATGCTCCGTCAGCATGGAGCCACAGGTTTTCCTCCTTCGCAATAACTGCAAGTTCAAGAAACGGGTCGACGGTGCCGGTGTTTGTAGTCCCTGCGTTGCCAACAATAAGGAACGGAATCTTGCCAGATGCTTTGTCTTCTTCAATGGTTGATCGAAGCAGAGCCGTACTGATTTTCATCTGATCATCGCAAGGGACCTTGCGAATTTGCGCATGGTGAAATCCAAGAATTCCCAACCCCTTTGCCAGTGATGAGTGGGTTTGATCAGATGTATAAGCAATTGCTTTCGTCCTTTGTTCAAACGAAAGCTTTTGATCCCGTGCCACCATGAGCGCCGATAGATTAGCCATCGAGCCTCCAGAAACGAAACAGCCTCCCGCTGTCTCGGGATACCCAACGACATCTCTTGCTAGCCACGACAGGAGATTCTTTTCCACGGCGCTGGGCCCAGAACTTTGATACCAGCTTCCGGCATGCGTATTATAAGCAGAATTGAGAATTTCTCCTAACCAAGACAAGTCCGACGCTGGAGATGGGATGAAGCCAAAGAATCGTGGATGGTCCATCCTGACGCGATATCCGAAAATCTTCTCCGCGTGAGACAGTGTTGCCTCAATCGAGGCTGGTGCCTGCGTTGGCTTTGCAATGCTCCCTATTTCTTTCTCATCCTGTGCAGGAATAATGCTTACAATGGGTTGTGAGGGTACAGTTTGTCTTTCCTGAACACAAAGTTGCAATACTTTCTGTGCCAATTCGGCGAAATCGTCCTTTGGCGCCGTCCCCATTTTGCAGTGTTTCGGAGTTTGCGATGAACGACACCGGTAGTTGTGTATACAAGTAGAGTTTTCTAAAGGTGTCTTGATATACTGTACCATTCCAAGACTCGAATCAAGAACTCCTGTTTATTTTAACTCTGCAATTGACTCATATTCGGACGGGTATCGTCGGTTGCGTCGTATTCTCAACTGTTTTCTGGAATCGAAGCGACACCGGAAGGCCCACCAGCTAAGACGAGTCTTGGGATCCCCAATTTGGAGCAAATGATGGGGTTATAGGTCCGCTAACTCATCAGGAGCCCAGGGTTACAGACTTACTCAGGTTTGAAGCCAGATAACATAAAAACTTAGATCCAAGACAGATATCAAAAGGTTTGCAATACATATCACCAGTCTATTATATGACGGGTGGCTGGAACCCTCACCACGCCTTTGCCTTCTACTCAAGCCCGGAAAGCTAAATCACTGGGGATAAAATTCACTGCTACCGCTAGGATGCTGACCAGAGGAACCAGCATCACATCGGTATAGCAATTCCGGGCTGCCATGGTCTTGCTTTGCCATCTCCAATCGACGCTTTGACGATGATAGAGAACAAAACTTCTCAAAGACCGTCGAAACCCGAGGCGACATTCAGGCGTCTAGACCTGATTTGGTGGATAGATGGAGCAGGTTATGAATCCCCAATTTGGAGACTTTCAAGTGGCTTGTCTATTGGCCGTCTTTGAGCGAATCTCATACTTTTTTGTGGGCTGGGGACATTCCACGCCTTTTCCATGTATTTAATCTCGGCACTTCCCCAAATTCCCCCAATTCTGCAATCTGCAGATACCTTGTAACTGCTCCAACGAGAGAACTACATCTGCACGAAACAATATGCCCAAAGCTTTGAAAGCGCCCACAAAGTCTTACCGATGCCATCGCTGTAGTCGGCTGTTCGCGAGGTCGGAACATCTTCAGAGGCATGAAAGATCACGTTAGTATTCGTGTTTCCCACCCATGCGAGGTATTGGTGCTCAGCATAGTGTACATACATAGATACGAAAGAGAAGCCCTTTCAATGCTCTCAATGCCCCAAAGCATTTACAAGAAAGTGCGTCCCCTTTTAGTAATATTACCAATACACTATAATAACAACTAGCTAAAAGAGATTTGCTCTCGAGGCACCATCGTCTTTCATACCATTCGGAGAATGCATCACAATCCTCGTCCTCCGTTACAATTCCAGTAACACGCTCTTCTCAGCAGTCTTTAACATCCATCAATATTCTACCAGATCCTACAGCGGATCATTCCAGTGGACATGAAGAACCCATACTTGAAAGCGCGGACAATATCCTAGGCGCTCCTCTCAACGACGCTGAAGGTCATCTGACAGCTACAGGAACATCAGAGTCTTATGAAGGCCATATCGCTCAGAGCAATAGTATAAATCAGCCGCTGGATTTTGCAATTGGAGATGACACTGTCGATTATCTCACAGTTGGCTCCATAGATGATTTTACGTCTTTTATGGATAGCGTCTCCGTCCCCACGCATCCATTCTCTCCGACTTATCAACCGGTACCATTTATTTTTCCAGTATCTGATCAACCTTCTGCCAATGCTTTGAACGAAGATTCCACAAACAAATTTACATGGCGAAATGAAATACCAAGACAACGAGTCCCACGACTTGCCACTTCCTTGACGGCAAAATATGACAATTCTTCTCTTTCTTAAACTGGATTCAGGCTGGCACCGATACAACCTGAGTATGAGTTGACCAATCCAGACCAACAAGATCGACAAGGTCTGCTGCATATACATATATCCACGGAATGTCGGCAACGAATTATCGATGATTTAGATGGGTTTTCCGATTACATCAACAAAGACTTCGATTTGCCATCACGGCATGTATTGTCAAGATTCTTCGGCGGGTATTTTGATACTTTCCATGACCACTTTCCATTCCTTCATATTCCAACTCTCAGACCTGAAAACCTCAGTGTCGAGCTATTTCTTGCCATGGCGGCGGTTGGAGCTCGCTATACACACGAGTTGGAAATGAGTAGCGTCTTATTTCAGATGGCAAAAGTCTTAGTACTCGAGTGTATTCGAAGACACAGAGCCACACATCCTATCGCTACCCATAGGCTTCTATTTGGCAAGTTAGCCGCCTCAAGCGAGCAGGCAGGGGAGTCTTCACGCCTCCAGGGGAGTGCTTCAACCATAGACGACCGGCAGAATACTATTCAGACAGTGCAGGCGATGCTCTTATTAGTCGCAATTACTACCTGGTCTGAGCCTGGCACTGCGTCTGATGCCTTGTCGATGCGAAGCATGCTAGACTGTCTTATAAGAGAAGAGGAAGCACTTTGCATTCCTCAGGCGCAGCATTTTGATGATTGGAAAAGTTGGGTTTACTGTGAAAATATCAAGCGAATCGTTTATGTTGCGTATTGCTTCATCAATATGCACACCATAGTTTTCGACATACCCCCTTTGATGTGGGCAAAGGACATCAACTTTGGACTTCCATGTCGTGAGAAAGAGTGGAGGGCTAGGGATGAGGCGGAGTGGAAGCAAATACGCGACGCTGGAGGACAAGCGCCTCGAAACTTTCAAGAGACCTTTGCAAGTCTTTTCGCTAGCGGAGGCGAGATGGATGAAAAGTCAAAGACGAGTCAGACAAGCTTCTCATCTTTGGGAGGCTGCGTCTTGATGCATGCCTTGATTCAACAGATCTGGCTGACGAGAAACTCTGGATTACCGTCTCAGCAATTAGAGCACAGCCTTCCAACAGAGCATATTGGTGCGTTTGAGAATGCATTGAGAACATGGGCAATGTATTGGGAACAGAATCAAGAATCTTCCATGGATCCTTTGAGCCCTCACGGCCCTATTGCATTCACATCTACAGCTCTTATGCGGCTAGCCTACATACGCCTCAACATGAATCTTGGCCCAATACGTTGTCTAAGTAGTTGGGATCCTCATTTGATCGCGCAATCCCTTCATGCGAGCCCCCCAGTTCAACGCAGCGAAAGACTCACTCGGGCTGCTCTTCATTGCGCGCACGCACTGAGTATTCCCGTCAAATTGGGCATAAACCATATCGCTGAAACACAAGTCAGATTCTGGTCAAATCAACATGCCTTGTGCTCTTTAGAGTGTGCGTTATTGCTCGCAAAGTGGCTCGAATCAGTCACAAAGAAAGATCCTGATCCTCCATTGACGCAAGCAGAGGAGCGACTTTTGGACTTTGTAGTCCACCTTGTAGCTGAAGCAGCATACAAAGTTCGATGCGAGAAGATCTGGGAAAGAAAAAATTCTCTCAATGTGCAGACTGTTCGGCTATGGGCAAGGCTGTATCAATGCAAAAGCGTCTGGGAAGTGGTGGGCTTGATTGGAGCTTCATTGAACATATACGCAGACATACTGGAGCAGAAGTGCTCATCAGAGGGGAATTGAGGCATAATGGTATCCCAGAATCTCCTATAACTTGGCTTAGTATACCCGTAACGTGCTTGCCGCTGGAAATTGCCTATCAATCATAAGCAACAGGGCTGTTCAGCTCCTCTAATGCATACGATGATGTCCAAAGTATTGCTCGCACGCTGTGACAGGTTGCAAAGTCAACTATCGTACGGAGTTGCCGATTGTTACTAGATAAGAGCCCATTTATCGTAATGGGACGTAAAATCTCGAGGCATAGATTAAATCTAGTTTTGGGGGAAGCTTACTGTAATGTAAGTCTTGTGGGTTTTCCTCAAAGTTCTATTCCATTTGGTAGGACTGCTGGAGATGCCGAAAGCATTCAACTTGCAATAGTTTCAGCGCCTCCCCCCGTCAGTCTCAAGGACCTTACGCCAAAGACCTGCTGCCTAATAAGATGCGCTGTCTGTTCTCTTGCAATTCACACGCGTAACCAGCGCGGCGTGTGGGCCTAAACAGCCACTTAGTAGCATCAGAATGACCAGCAAAAGGCTCTAGTTGGAGCTGGGGGGGATGAGCCACAGCATATTACTCCGTACTTTTTGCATTGCCGAGAGAAATCACATGATGAAAGATTCATATTCCCAGTCATTTTATTGCCAACAATTGTTGAGTTGTTATTTTCCCACAATTATAGTAATTGAGACGACTTGTGTTTGATCACTGAGACCAAAGAATTGAAAGAACAACTACGGATCTCTTTGCGTAAGCCTAAAGATGCAGGGCGCTCGGGGCTTTGTATCCTGCTCGTCATGCCGACAAAGAAAGTTGGTGCCTCTGTCCCCTCACCAAGAATTCTCCTTACCCTTTTTTTGATGCTAGATTAAGATGCGATCGGAACGAACCGTGTAGCAATTGCACGACCAGAAATGTCGACTGTATTTACGCCTCATTACCACGTGGACGTGGTGGCTTTACTCACAGGGGAAATAACAACCAGCGCCCTGAAGTTCGCCTACGGAAGTTGGAGCAACTCATCGGGACAATCGTATCCCAAATACCCGAAAATCAAGCATCAGGCACCGCAATAAGTTCATATAACGCCGGAGAAGCAAACAATCTCCACGGAGACCGGACTTCTAGCTCAGCTGCTCATGAACAAGTGAGGGGCGACCTTTCCCGGAATGACCAGCATATGGTCAGGCCCGGCCGAATGATGTCGAGTGACGACCAGACGATTTACGTATCTAGCGTTCACTGGGCAGCAATTTGTAACGAGGTGAGAATTTACGTTTCCATGGTCTTTACAGCCTCAATGACACTATCCTTTATGCAACCACTTTAGATTGCATGCCTTCGAGAGAATTTCGATGAGCAAGAAGCACAAAGCCATACGGAGACTATGGTGCAAAGCCGAAAGAGTAGCGAGCCCCTGCTATTGGATGGCGTAAGAGAAGTGTCCAGCGTGGAAGACATTCTATCCGCCATCCCTCCAAGAGATTTCGTGAACAGATTAATATCCCGATATTTCAATTCCAAGGATCCCTCAGTTGGTACTTTAAGACTCTTTTCAAGACCTAATTCACCATTAAAGCTAATTGTATGATCAGCTGCCTTTCACGCGCCATCATTTCAGCTTGAGGTATGTATAGCCACTCTGGGGACGCAAGGAACCGTTGATGCTCAAGATATCTGATTCAACTTTTTCTTTGCTTAAGTATAAGCGCTTTTGGGATAACCCGCGCGCCGCCTCCCTTCCTTGGATAAGCTTATTATTCGGAGTAATGTCCATAAGTGTGTTTCTGCATATGCGCTCTGGAGATAAACTGTCAGAGGCATTCGGGAATCCTGGAGACTTGAAGGATGACTTCCATCGACGCGCTACCGAGTGCCTGCTCTTGTCTAAATATTCAACCGAACCTGGCGCATATACCATTGAGGCACTCCTCTTTAACATTCACAATGAGTTTGTGCGATGTAAAGATGCCCATTTAGGCGTCTGGATTCTGGCGGGTATTGCTACGCGATTAGCGATGCGAATGGGATATCACCGTGATCCAAGCCACTATTCACAGTTGTCCGTCTTTCAAGGAGAAATGCGCCGCCGCTTCTGGGCGAGTATCTTGCAGATGGATGCACTCTTTTCTTGCCAGCTTGGGTTACCGGCCATGATTCAAGAATCACAATATGATACACAGCTTCCGTCCAATCTTCTGGATGAAGACTTTGGTCCCGATACCGCCAAGCTTCCGAAATCACGGCCCGAGACTGATGTCACTCCCGTGTTATACACGATTACAAAAACGCGATTTATGTTGCTGTTTCGTGAGATTTTCAACCAGGTTGCTCTACAATGCGTGGCAGAGTATGAGGAGATAATTGCGCTGAGCCAGCGTCTTGAAAACGCCTATACCCTTATTTCTCCTCATTTTCGAATGACCTCTCTCGAAGACTACATAACGGTTCCGCCTTATTCATTAATCCAGAGGTATAACTTGGAGCTTCTGTTCCAAAAGACGCGATGTATTCTGCACCGCCATCATATGGCAAAATCCTACCAAGAGCCGAAATACAACTTTTCGAGGTATTCATGCGTTGAAGCGGCAATGGCGATTTTAACGCACCATGCCAACATTCACAAAGAAGTGCAAGTCGGAGGTCTTCTTCACAGAGAAAAGTGGTTTATTTCATCACTTGAGCAGCATGATTTTCTGCTAGCTTCCATGATTGTCTGTCTCGAGCTCACCTCGCAGACTCAAGCTAGTCCAGAACGCGACGACGAAATGACCGGGTTGGTGAGGTTTGACCGTCAAGAATTGATTAAAGCACTGGAAACTTGCAAAGTATCTTGGCATAGGCTTAAATCAGACTCCTTCGAAGCGCAAAAAGCATTCGATATGCTCTCGGTCATGCTGGATAGAGTTTCGATGGGCACACAGTCGGAGGGAGAGCGACGTCTTATGGACAGAGTCGCCAGGCATGATAACGGCAACTATACAGCATCTCAGCCTATGGATGACGGTAAGTCTACTAACTATACAGTATTTTTCGTTATCATGTGCTAATCTTTGCATGCTTGATTAGATCCTATGCTGGTACCAAGCACATTAGGGGGCGTGGAGTGTCAATTGGGCTCACTAAAAACCTCACAAACAACTACCGACACACCATTTCTCAATGAAATGGATTCATTCCTGAATGGCCAAGATATGATAGATTGGGTATGTACTTATAACCCACGTAAACCTGGCGATTTGCTGGATAGGTGTTGTGTGACTTGTTTGCATAGAAGATTATATGCTGACGAGCCTTCAATTACGTTTCGCCAGAATGCATGGGAGCTATTCATGAAAAACTCTCGCGGGGAATCGCAGGGCGCTTAAAGAAAAAGGCTCGCTGAACCTCAGTTGCCCAGCTATCTTTCACAGCTTACGGAATTTCGCTCGACAATCCCAATGGAAATCTGAAACTTTGTGCTCGTGACCATGACCTTTCGGAATGCAAGTATCCAGATACATCATCTAAACTTCCTAGTTGAGTCTGTGCCACATATTATAACGCCCTAAACACCGCACTGTTGACGGCATGTAAAGAGACAAATGCAAAAACGAGGGGGATGCAAAACTAACCATAGCATTGTTCGTTGAGGAGCGATACGGGCTTCATCATCTGCGCCACAGTCTATGCCCAAAGTCGCTAGCGCTCCGGATTTGGATCACGGTGATAATAACTCCGATGTTCAATTGCAAGAACTAGTGAAATAATGAGGATACAAAAAACAAATGATTCATATGTATTGTCAGGTGATGGCATATATCGGAGGCCGCGGACATCTCTATAGAGGAGCCCCTTAAGACCAAGCCTGTTGAACCCAGGTCTAGGTAACTAATTGAAGGATTTAACATTCTTTCCAGGTGTCCAAACGAACAAGGGTGGATGAGAGCTGGTATACTAGAAATTCCCGAGTGGTTTGTGGCATAATTTATTTGCGATTATGCAACCTTTCTCTAAGAACAAGATGTGCAGTGTCTGTGTAACTGAATTTACATGTCCGCAACAATGACTATCAATCAGCTTAACTGTAGCCTAGCTAAGCACTGCTGAACATATGAACCGTATATACGCGTCCTGAATCATTGACGTAATTTCTTTCTAGCGTACTCAGATGTAGTTTGATTAGTCCTTGCAGAGAATGGAGAATAAAGATCCTGTTCCGATGATAGCTGTGTACGTTCTGCACGTAAGAGCGAGATCCGTGGAATTCCGCGGATGCGGCTCCGCAAGTCCGGCAACCTCTGAGGCGGCCCCACCTTCGGTCGAAACAGATACATGCCAAAGAAAGGAAGCAAAGAAGGCTGCTTAAAGGCGTGAGAAGTATATAAAGATTGCTAGAAGCTCTTGGATACAACCACTTGTTTCAATCATCAGAAGAACGCAGAAAGCTGATACTCGAAAGATCTCTTGATACATTCCACTTCTTTCATGGTCGATTTTGAGCAGCAAAAGCCCCTTACCCTTGAGTATCACCAGACATTATGACACGCCAAAAAGAAGAAGAGTTTCGGGTAGCCGATATGCCTAATTTGAGTGGCTATGTTGCAATTGTAACAGGCGGTGAGTATCTTTGGCCACTGGATTTTTTCTACAGGAGTAGCGTGTAAAGTAACATGTCGACATAATAGGCAATTCAGGCATTGGATATGAAACAACGCTACAGTTGGCTACTCACGGAGCCCGAGTATATATTGCAAGCAGATCTAAAACTCGCGTCGATGCGGCAATCAAGACCATGAAAACCGGAAATAGTGGTCTAGACATTCACTTTCTCAAGCTAGACTTGCAAGATCTTCAGAGCATCAAGACGACGGCTGAGGAATTTTCACAAAAGGAGCCTCGTCTTGATATACTCATCAACAATGCCGGCGTTAGTATTTCTCTGGAATATTTAGTAATATCTGCTAATGAATTTGCTCCTATCACAGATAATGGCTTGTCCTTTCGAATTAACCAAAGATGGATACGAACTACAATGGCAAACTTGCTTTCTCGGGCATCATGCCTTCACAATGTGTTTACTTCCCCAGCTACGTTCGGCTGCTCAAAGTAGCCACAGCAGAGACCGAGTGAGAATTGTAAACGTCTCAAGTGATGCTGCTACAAGTATGGGGCCGGATAGCATTAATTATAAAGATCCTAATATGGCCGATTTGAAAGGAGTAACCGCCCCATGGTAAGCAAATATTACCACTTACGATAAAAAGCTAACTACCTTTCATCTTTTGTATCATCTTTTAACCAATGGCGAACTCGGAACTGGCACATATACACAGGAGGAACATGTGCTGACATATTCGCTTTCTACCTAGGAAACGTTACGGTCATTCGAAGCAAGCCAGTATCATTGTTGCCAAGGCAATCACAGACCGTTACAAAGCTATCGGCATTACAGCTTATTCTTTACATCCGGGCATCATCAAGTCAAATCTCCAGAGCCACGATACTTCCTTTCTTGGCATGCTGTCTCGAACCGCGATGAAAATTTTCCCGACTCTTTCACCAGCGGATGGGGCACGCACCAGCTTGTATTGTGCTACAAGCCCCGATGCTCCCTCATTTGCTGGCCGGTATTTTATGCCATTTGGAAAGGTTGGGACGAAGGAAAATAGGTGGTTGGATGATGCAAAAACTGTCGACAAGCTTTGGACGCTCGCAACTAATCAGCTGAGGGATCACGGGTTTGTAATCGATGATAATGTTGGCAACGCTGATGCATAAGCTTTTTATCGACTTCGAAGATCAACGGGAGATGCAAAGGTTACTTTCCACATAAATCCAGTGATTGGACAGCTTTACTTGTAAGATACAGAGCTTCTCTTTCATACTTGTGGTGCTGAGAAGGATATACATTCTCGATTGGCCTTGTTTGTAATTGAGAACCATAATACACTTGATATTCAGAAACATACTTTAATGGAAAATGAAAACTACATTACATCGAGACATTATTACAAGTGAAAATACTTCTGAACAGCGAGTGAGGTCTAACTTCTCGTTTACAGTAGTTGGCTCGCACACGATTAGGCTGCCGAGAGCCGATAGGATTAGTTATGCAGAAACCCGTTTAGGAGTTCGAAGCATCACACCGCCACCTTCGCCGTTCTACCGCACCGACTGTCCGTCCTTACGTGTTCAATGAGTGCCAAATTGTCAAGATGCAGGCCACGCGTCAATGTTGCTTGTGAGTTTCAATGGGTTTGTCGGGAGATGATACGCTTGTGCCCTTTCTTTATGCGTGGTGAAGTAGTGAGCGGACACGTCATGTCGCCGATTTCACCGATTTACGAGCGTACACGACTCGTAGGTGCTACACCACAATTGAATCTTAGTCTTCAGTACACTAAACCTTTCATATATATATCATCTCTCTTCTCCCTCCAAATATGAAATCTCAATCACTCAACAATCAAGTTCAATCAAGCCTTTCAGAGCCAACTCATCATATCAATCAAGCCTTTCAGAACCAACCTAGCATATCAAGCATATCTTTGAAACTCGACCAGAAAATGTCTACCAAATCCTGCTCAGTTTTGTCAATTGGCCTCCTGTGCCTATCCCTTTTGAGCGTACCTGGCTCAGCCCAGCCAACTGCCGATCCTTTAGGCCCAAAAGGGCTTAACTGGGTGCTTCCTTTTGTTGGCGACTGGAACTGCTATCAGCAGGGTGAGAATGGGAACGGTGGAGGTGGCAGCGGCGCCGGTGCGAATCTTACGTACTCCATCAAGATGACCAAGAATAATGTGACCCTGGACTCCATCCAGCCGAGCCCATTGCTCACGGCGCACTCTGTCATCACTTACGACGCTGAGAGCGAAATGTTCAACTACACTTACAGTGACAGCGGAGGCAACAGCGGACCTGGTACCTCTGTTGGCTGGGAGGAGGGTGGTCACTTTCGTTTCATCACTTGGCCCCTGACCAATCCCGGCAGACCGGGTATCCAAGCTCGAACAATGGATGATTTCCTGCGACCCACCGGCCCTGATCAATTTACCGACAAGTTCTACGCCAGTCAAGATGGAGGCAACACCTGGCTGCCGGCAGGTCAACTCGACTGTACCCGTGCCGCCAAATCTCCCGCTAAGGAGACATAAGCTTTTACGCAAGCTTTCAATTTGGCACAAGATGAGGCTGAGCCAAAGGAGAAGCTAATGGGTTCGCCAGCCACCACGATATCTAATGCTGGCAAATACGATGCTGGGTTATAGACTCGACCGCGCTTTCTATCGCTACTAAATGATTTTCAAACTATGGAACTTTTTTAATATCCCATAATAGCTTGGAGTAGTTAGATCGTCTTTTCGTTCATGTCTTTCTTTTAGAAGTTTTGTTTTGAGTTTTAATAAATCTGTTTTACATATAAATCTACGGTGTCGTGAAGATTACCAATGGTGCATGAATAGTGGTCCTGGCTTGCTTCTTTTTTAAGGTTATATTGCAAGCGCTAGGTTATTGAAACGAGTGATGACCAGAGATGTAAACGCAGGATGCGAAATAAGTTATCCTGTCTTGCCCATCTCTGAACGACACCATCAGCCTTACTGTTCTACCAACACGCCACAGATGAAATAAAACCACTGCCCTTTCTCGTTCATCTGCTTTGATTCAATTACGTCTCAAGTTAGAACAGTGTTACCCAGGAGCAGTTAAAGACAAGATTAGCCTGCGTACAAGGTCACACGTGGGCTGAGCATCCCCTGCCCTACCCACCAGTGTGGAGAATATGAGCGAGAGTTACTGGATTAGGTTGTTGTGAATTTCCCTTTTGCGATTTCTCCACATGGCCGAGAGCCGCTTCAAATTCAGCTTCAAATCTGGGGTGGCTGTAGTGCTAAGAATGGCTCCACGGTGTTTTCAATAGAAGCATTCTTTCTGTCCTGCAGCTTGCTATGCCGAGGATATTAGGGATCTAACAAGAGTATCAACACAGGTGGGGTTATACGTTTTATTCCCTGTTATAGAAAATGCTACTCTCCGGCTATGGTAGTTTATACTTTCTAGCGGTTTATCCCCCGCCATTTGGTATAATACCGAGGCTTCAAGATGCAGAACCCACTCGCGATACATCTATATGTAGGTAGCTCAGGTTGCATCAAATGTTGAACCATGTGCATTTTACCCCAACGAACGATTAATTTTTCTCATGGATAATACACGCGATCCCCCGTTGCCCAATGGGTTCGGGGCTGCAACAAATGTTACTATGATCAAGCAGAAAATAAAAAGTTAGCAGTTGTCCATTATTCTCGCCGTCTCGAAGTATAATTGACATCAAAACGTAACCTTTATGGAAATATAGCCAAAGCCGATGCTATCGTTTCCTCTACAATCCCTGTCGCCGCTCCCCTGCAGAACTTTCTTGCATTGACTAGGGCCGGCGATGTTTTGTATCAAAGTACAGCTGGGACTAGACAGCTTGGGTCTTCGGAGCCTCTCCAATTCGACGATGTGAGCAATTGACCTTGATCCTAAACCTAGTGCACTTGTCGGAGATTATTCTCACTTACACTCCTCCGAGCACTTCACTAACCATTTGTAGATGTTTTGGCTAGCCTCTCATACCAAAATCCTTGGAGCGATGGCACTCCTCAAATGCATTGACATGGGTTTAATTGGGATTGATGATGGCGTTTTAGATCATTTACCCGGCCTAGCCCAGGAAGAAGTGTATGTCACCGCTCCCTGCTCTCTGGTAACTTGTGAAGGCGAGGTTTCTTTAACAGCTCTATTTTTAGTCGACTTAATCCTAATGATCCAAGCTCGGCTACGCAACCTCGAGTTGGCGATATTACTGTTCGCAATCTCCTCACTTTTACAGCTGGAAATGCGTACCCTGTAGTAGATATTCTTGCTGCTATAAATCCGGAAACGATTATTACCGACCCAAAGGCCTTTTTCCCAACTAACAAAAGCGTTTACGAGGGTTCACACGCAGCCAACCCGAACCAGATTTGGCGCTATGGCGCTGAAGCTGATTATAGTGGTCTGCTTGTCGAGGCCCTGACTGATGTAAGCTTGGGCCAATTCATTCAAACCTACTTGCTAGATCCTGCAGGAGTAGAGGCAAAAGACTTTACTTTTACTTTGGATAGTGAACAAAGAGCCAGACTCGTGGGCCAGCATGTCAGAGCTAGCCCAGATATGCTTATTCCAAGAGCACCGATCTACGACGATGCACACATTCAATTTGAAAGCGCAGGAGCTGGAGGCTTTGGCACTATCAACGCCCTTGGGCAAGCTCTTCTTCCTCTTATTAATCAAGGAGTCCATCGTAAGTGTCTCATTTGTTTCCTATCAGAATGAAGCCTATATAATACCGCTATAAAAATACTTGGTTTGAGTGTTTCACTTGAACCTTTTCAAGAAATGAGTATATAAACTAATAGATGGGGTGTATATAGCCAAGACAGGTAAAAGGGTTCTGAGTTCTGAAATCGTAGCTCAGATGTTTGCTCCACAACTTTTTGAAGCTGCGGTTGAAAACGGCCTTAACCAACCATCTCAAGCCTCCAATGACGGCGGGGTTCTATTTCCAGGGACACCCAAGCAGTGGGGTCTTGGAGCGCTGCTTTTTCCAGAGGGATTCGAAACTGGCCGAGGAAAGTTCACCTTGGCTTGGGCTGGATTCACTAACGTGAATTGGCATTGCGATATAGAGAAGGGCGTGGTTATGCTAGCCTGGAGCCAGGAAATTCCGCAAGACGACCCGATTTATAATAACCAAACTCGATATCCTATTGAGAAAGTTATCTAGAGCCGCTATGCGATTGCCGTGAGGATGAGGCTGACAGTTTCTCCCCCCCGCAGAGCGAAGAGAACCGGCTCCTGTACGATGACGGAAATGGGATGCAGTACGGCAGCTTTGGCGACGCCGCGCTCAATGGAGAAGGCGACTCTGCAGAGGCCCAGCGAGAAAACGAGGCGCTGCAGAGAGTAGTCGCAAAGACGTCCAAGTCGGTTCTCTCCAGATTCCGTGATTGGCTTCTTTTGCAACCGAGACACTGACTTGACTTGGCTGCAGCAACATGGTCGACATCTTCGAAATCGCTCCGCAAGACCCCATCGGCCGAACTTCGACGACGACGCTCTTTGCTTACGCTGGCCAAGGCGCTCGGGTGGCGCGCTACCACCATCTCGTGTCCAAACTCAGCACACAAGAGGATAGCCCTCTCGCCGGTATCAAAGTTGATTGGCTTGCCGACGAGGATGCCGCCGAACTACACGGCGAACGCCCGGCCAGCCTAAGAACGCTCGACGACGACGATGCGGCACTTGTTGGGACTTTTGCAGATGCGGCCGCGGCCATGAAGTAATGGTGATTCCTCGGTTTCCTTTGCCAACGAGACGTGGTCGGTGAAAAATGGTGCAGCGTGGTGTCAGGAGGCTCAATGATAGATTCAGCACTCACAATCTTTTTTCCCTTTTTTTCCTTTTTCTTTATTCTTTTCTTCATCTTCTCAATAGTATCTTTTTTCGATACCCCGGGCTCTGTCAAAACGCTAGAAGTCTTCCAGAGCGACGGCATCTCAAGCGAGTTGCCTCTTGAACCGAGATTTACCAATTTCCCGGAACCACACTCCCTTTTTTTTTCTCCTTGGGAAAAAAAAAAGAGCGCATGACCAGGGGTGGCCGGCGCTTGTACCAACAAGAGGTCTTTACCAAAAAAAGAAGCAAAAAAATCCATATTTTATGTTGCCGTTCAACAACAAGCGTCCGCTACTCGATTGTCGTTTGGCACCAAAGCTCAATTGGGCCACTGTGATTGGAAGCATGGCATATGGGCCAATGCAAAGCCAGAAACGAATGTGAATTAAGATGATTAGAGGAAAGCCTCTCGCCAGCCTACGGAAACCATTGGGCTATTATTGCTGTCGAGTAAAAAGCGAGCCCGCGATGATGCTTCACCGCAAGGTGCCCATTGAGCGTCAGACACGTGCACGGCCGATCTGTGGAGCCGTCTAGTGCCAGAATATCAAGGACTGGCCGTCTAGCTAGCCGTCGGATTCCGTCTTTTAGCTTGGTTCTTCGTCGGCCTCGGCTCGCACCGCCGTTTTAGTTCCCACGGCTTCCGTTTTGAGGGGTGGGCAGGGTTCGGGGGGCACATCCAAGTCATCGGGATTGTGCCTGTTGACGGAACCAATTTGTCGGTAAATGGTTGTGAAGCGCAGTCCAGCTCGGCGGGCTGTCAGGACGAGACGACGAGGCCGGCCACCCCTGGCTTGTGAACCCCAGCAGCCGAATGAGAGCGACGCAGAGGCTAGAGAAGCCATGCCATCATTCCCGTAAGCGACAGGAGGGGGGTGACAGCGGAGAGTAGCTTCATGCTGTCGATTGCTACTGTACTCGTATGGCTTCCATTCGTTACGGTTAGCAGCTACAGACGGCAGTGGCTTTGGGCCCCGGACGGCATCCCGGGCTGTTTGACTGTCCACTGGCGCGGGGATCAAAGGGAAAACGATGACATTTCTGCGGAGATGGCCCATACTCATCAAGGAAATGAAATCCCGGCAGACCGGTCCTGCTTGGGCATTCCGCGGCGGAAATCGAATCGCAACGCATTTCAACCATGGGTGCGGTCCTCCTTTGCGATATATCCATGTGATTGATCCCCAACCGCACCCCAGACACTTCACGTCAGCTCCCTGGTACCAGTAAGCGTGCGTCCTGGCTTTTAGCCCGGTCACAAACGCGATAAGCGAGGCACTCATTCGTCAAAGTGCGATGCGTCGCCTGTCTGCTGGCGCGAGGATCCCACGCATACGGACACTTGTACTTTACAGCTGGTACCTACTTGTACAGATCGAGCCCCCCCGCTGCCACAGCCTCTGCTGTACAAGTACGAGCAAGAAGCACCAAGGGGATTTACCGGAATACCTCGTACTAATGGTTGGTGACGTCTACTCCTGGACGCTACTCCAGTACTAGCTGCCTCCGTCACATCAAGCAGTCGATGGACATTGGACACATTCAACCCTCACCCCGCCAAGGAGTTTTCGTCACAAGGAACTACCCCCAGTCGTTTGCAGTAGCAGCAACTTGGCCCACCCACAAAAACTCATCCAGCCCACCACCAAATGAAATCTGTGTGGTGCTAAATCCAGGCCCCCGGAAGCCGCGCCTCTCAAGGTCGACAAAGTACGAAGTATGGAGCGTGTCATTTCGGGATCCCAGTACCTAGGTATCTAATTAAAACAAAAAGGAGTGCGAGACGACCCATTCGCTACCGAAGCCCAAGGGCATGAAGAAGAAGAAGAGAAAAAATCCAACCAAACGTCCTGGAAATCCATCAAACCGATTATACAATGAAGTCGACCATTTGACCGACTCATAAAAAAAAACGCTTTTTTTTGTCATGTGCCCGGGACCATGCTGAAAATGCAAAAGATGAAAGACAACCCGAAAAAATAGCAGCGAACGACTTCCGTGGCTTAGCAGCCTTCAATAAAAAAATTCTTCCAACAAAACCAGGACCCCTTTTCTCTCCGTTTTTTCTATTCGCTCCGAGTTGACCCAATGCTGTGCTGTGCCTAATCTCTGATATCCGCTGGCTAACCTTTGACTTTGTGGCCGTGTCTTCTGTAAGCTGACCTTTCCCCCCCTGCCATCGTCACTGAAGCACAGGAAAATGTTAGCCACAGAGATGCCGCTTCTGCCATTGGTGGTTCTCTTGTGTCCGACTTTTTTTTTGTGTCTTGCATGCCGTGTCTCGACAGGGCCAGGGGGAGGGCTATTCTCATACCTGAGCAAGCGTTTGTAGCCTGCGCAAATGATCTTCATCCATTACCGCGATTTGGCCCCTGACAGAGGCCATTTCCTCCTCCGTCCTTTCGATGGTGGCTGTCCGGTTGCCCTCGACCTTCCAACGCTCCACATCTTGAGTCATCTTGGCGAGGCGCCGTCGTTTCTTCTCCGTGTCGTGACATAGCTTACAGACGTCGGGGTCAGGTTTTGTTTCATAGATGAGCTTCAGCCCGCAAGTCTCTCCCATTCGATATTCCTTGTTGCATTGCTGGCGGAAGTGGCCCCAGCGCCAGTAACCACAACTCCAACGAGTCTGTTCGAAATAACACATGGCCAATTCGTTCGGTGGATGGCGTCGATCGAGAGGAGGTAAACCCGAGGAGGAGGAGGAGGAGGGAGAAGAAGGAGGCGGTAGAGAGGAGGAGAACTGCATCACGAATCGAGAATATCAGCAAATGGACATTTGCCAAGCAATGGGCAACCCTTCAAAGCCAATCCTGCTCCCTCAGGCATAACGAAGGATCCCCTCTCTTTGCTCCATGCTTGGAGCAAGGTGATGATGTGAAGTGAAGAATTGTTTAAGCTGGCAACCTACAATAGACAGAAACGACCGGGAGGAAGCAATTTCCAGACTAGCGCCGGAATCGTTCGATGCAGGGCACCCCGTTTAGTCTTGTCGGGTCTCGCTTGGATATTCGGCTGGCGAGGATTGTTTCAACGTCGAATTGAGCGTTTTTGGGCTCGTCGTTCTGTTTCCGAGTCTGGGCTGGTGAGTCCAGCTGCTTTGCTTGAGCATTGGGGACGGCCAAGCTAACTTATACTCGCCTCAAGTCAGAACAACTCGCTATCCATTCGGCCCTCGTCCTATCCTTTTACCATCCAGCGCCTTTACAACCCAATCCTCGGTGGGACTCACAGCGACCAACAAGCACCTTCCTTTACACGGGCCAACAAACTTCGTCATTATCGTCCTGCTTCCTGCGGGATAAAAAAAAAGATGCTTTGATACGTGGATTGGGTATCCGTACTTTTTTGCCCTATACCAACATGCCAGTTGCCCTACTCCCACACACCCCTTATTTTCACCCACTCGCACACCCCTGCTGCCGTGTGATGGCGTATCCTGTAGCACGTTCCTGGCTTCCAAGGTAGGGGGGGAGGGGGGTGGGAGTGAAATTGTGCGTGTGTGCGTGTGGGGGGTCGATGTGGAGGTAGCCTCGATGCAGAACACCACCACGACTGCCACATACCTTGTCAAGCTTGTCTTGCCTTTTGCCAATGCCACCGCTGTCATGGCGCTACAGGTACACACAAATCTCGACTAACTGATCCAGCTTTGACGAGAGAAGCTTCCCTTCAACTGGCCCAATTCCTTTGCTTCATCGGCTTTAGGTCGACATATGCGATTTGGGTTCCCCATATCCACATCCCCTTTTTACCTTTTCCCTCCGCTTGGCCGCTTTGGGGAGGGGGGTTCCTCCGGTGGTGTGCTCGTGAGCCTGCAGAGTGCTTTGCCACGTTGGTCCAGCCTCATAGGCTGGCCGTAGAGAAAAACCCATACCAGAGTCCCCGCGTTTTATTTTAACATGCTACACACAGGCGTACCGGCACATCTTATCTGTAAAAAATACTCCGTTCCAAAGCTCAAAGTTCGGTTCCCATCTTGGGGGGGTTTAAGCTTGTCCACACCATGGCGAATGGAGAGCAGGAAAAGGAGAACAAGAAGCAAGATTTCAAGACGGCAATGACGCATTTCGAAGAATCAAGGAGGGGTGCGTTGACGATGGGTTTGCCACATTTCGGGGCCTCTGAGTCTTGGTGCTTTGCTGTCTGCTTCTTCCAGCTGGGCCTGAACTCTTCTCAATTGGACCAGAAAATTGGCAAACTCATATCGTCCCCCGTCTTTCTAGTCTCCCTTTGTTAACATCATCACTGCAGGTTGACGGTTGATACGCCAAAATGGAGTACCGACGTCTGCTCACGCATGCTACTGCTAGGAGAAGATGTGTCCTTGCCACAAGAGGCCCTGGCTTTCGGACCCTACTCTGTCTTCCACCACAAGTAGTGGGCGTCTCGATCTGCGGCCACTGTGGGTCTCTCTTATGGTTCGTCCCGAGGATGGACAAGTGTCATGGAACAGGGGGATGGATCCTGACCGCTTAGTATGTGGTTCTAGTTGTCGATTTCGGTGAATGCTGGGGTTGTGGTTCGTCCCGCATGGCCGTAGTGGCCATAGTGGCCATAGTAGCAGAACTTTGGGATGCCACCAGCACCGAGCAGGTCGCCAAAGCTTGACGGGACAGCTCTTTGACTTACCTGTGAGTAACTCACACTGTGATCAACTACAATGGCAGCAGTCTAGCCTTCCACAACCGAAATATCATCCAGCAGATATGCCATCTCTTTGATATGGATAGCTCCCGTGCCCTGTCAAAAAAGGGGTTACAAGGCCATATCTGAGCTTTGTCCCTTTTATAAGAAAAACAATGGAGCCACAATTGGCCACTACAAGCTGAAAACGGTTGTAGAGATATATTTAATCGACACCACGCGGAATTTCACTTGTGGGCGCTACGTCTGGTCCTGCCTCCATATCGTCACACCCAATTCTCTGGGGTCGACAGGCTCCCATTTGCGGTCATGTTGCTCGCGTTGGATGCGCCATCTCATACAACACCCTGAGAAGGATAATCTGGAGGTGCGGCCGACAACAGCAAGGACAACAGGCTCCGGTGGTCACACAACATTTGTGAATGCGGCTCTTTAAGGGATCCCCACATGCCACCGCTTCGATGTCCCTCTCTCCTTTGCTCGCTCTGCTCGCTCAAACGGGGTTGGACAAGATGCATTAGTTGTGGACTGGAAAGTTGGACCGCGGCTATCAGAGTCAGGGCATCGTGGCCGCTTCAAAAGCACATCTCCACCGCGAGGATGGAGCAACTCAAGGATAACAACCTATTTTAAGGGACACATCCGGGACTACTACTTCACCTGCTGCGTTTAGTTTTCTCCCTCTCATCACGTCCTATTAGAACCGTACACGACGATGCCTTCTCATATGGGCATGCATGGTACCTATGCATACCTCACGACTCACATGAATATCCCGGATGCCCGAGAAGGCGAGATGATTGGCCCTCTCCGGCACCAGCCCAGACCCTCAGATATCTAGATGGAGATTGTTTCTGTACTTGCAACGTCTCTTGACGTATGGCCGTCAGCACACAAGCTCGATAGCGGGGGCAAAGCCAGGAGAGTTGTGTTAATCTGGCCAACGTGGCAACACTCGTCTGGACGCAAGCAGCCTTGTCCCGGGGTGGCCATTTACAAACTGCATGGCAAACTGCATCAGCATTCAATTCAGGGTTGACGCCTAGGGGGGGGGGGGGGGGGACCAGTAGGGGGAGGGGGGTTCGTTGAACTGAGTGGCTCCCATGAGCTGACCCCATCTATATTAATGATGTATACAGACAGCCCACCGGGTATCACGAACGAATCCGAGCCCCTGTCACGGCTCTATTCTCCGGGGATCGCTACTGTGGCGTTATAGGAGGCTAGAGGAAGGGGGATGGGTTCGACACAGCCCTCCTGAAGGGTGACTGGTGGGTTTGGGTGGGCGGCACAGCGTTCGGAGCAAAAAAACCAAGAGAACCCAAGACAGGCTGGTTGGGAAGCACTGCGTCAAGGTTGTGTGAATCGCACAGACGGCCTTTGTCGCCCACTGAATCGGAAATTGTATCGTTGCTTCCCCGGCAAGACACCACGCCGATCAACAGGCCATCCGCCAGACCATATTGAGCCCGAGACCGAACCACAAGCCGAAACCGAGCCATACTTCTTCATTCCAACACGAGAGAGAGCATGCTATACCTTGCGAGCAACGAGACGGTACAGCTGGCCAGCTTGCCACGCGCCCCTACCCCTCGACGCGGCTGAAGCTGGTGCGACTCCAGACGCTTTGAACCAGGATTGTGGCGTTGACGGACGCAGGGTCAGCACCCTTTAGGAACGGAACGTCCTAGCTATACGCCCAGCATGGCATGTGCAGATTAGAGGATAAGAATTGAAGCTCGGACTGAATCGCCGATCATCCACATCGACGCAGGAGTGCCTGTGACAAGATGGACTAGCGCAAACAACTCACATCAAGCAGCAAAAAGGCTGGGGTCTTTTTTTTCGGAGTGAGTGATATGGGTCTCAGGAACACGAGTGGCTGAAAGCACGGGCGACATTAGCGGGCTGGAGATTCCGTCACCGGTCTCGAGTACTGCAAGCAAATCTATGGAACAGAAATGCGTCTAAGTGACGGTGAAGGGCCATGAGACCGTGGAGCACAGGCCGGAGAAGCCGCAATGATGAGCTGGCCTTCTGCTTTGGGAACGGCCTGCATCTCCCATGGCCCTTTTTCAAGCTCGATGTCGTGGTTGCTAGAGGCTTTGACGTGGACGGGTAAAGAGACAGGAGACGAGAGGAGAGAGGACCACGTCCCCCGTTGCATTGGGTACAGGTTGGGCTCTGTGTGAAAAGATACGTTTCAAAGCGGTTCAATCAGCAACTGGAGGGGGGATCCGAGAATCGACAATGCCGACATAGAGGCCAACGGCGGCCGAGAGCATGCGCGCCAGGCGCCGAAAGTCTGTTACAAAATTGACAACCAATCTTGCATTGCGGTATCGCTCAGGCTATGGCCCGGCCGCTTTTGGTGGCCAAGTTTGGTGTTGAGGTAGGTTATGGGTCCCAGCCTCAGGGACAAGGGTTGTGTATGTACAGAGGACTTTGTCCATGCCACATACAGATGGCACACAGTACTTTCGTACATTGCTCGCACGCACACACAGACTTGACACGCACACCGGCATAACAAGGCGCCAAGCCAGCGAGTGGAACCACCCCCTGGGTGACCGAGTGTTGGTGCCCCCTCGCCACGGGCCGTGATCTGGATCATGCCGGCCCGTTCCGTCTTGAACGTGCTGAGAGAGGTTGATGACAAAGAGAAGAGAGGTGAAGAGGATAGGGAGGGGAGGAAACAAGGGATTGAATTACGGATTTGCAACAGTCAGGATTCGCTTTGCCGAGCGAGCTTGCCCATGGCTTGGTTGATCCGGACGAAAACTGAGCGAGGGTCTCATGGCTGGCCGGGTCCGTCCAGGATGAGGCTTGCTCGTGCTAAGTGGGCGTGACATGGCATGGGCCCGTAGCCTGGCGCCGAGGGACCCAAAGAGGTAAAATCAAAAGAAGGAAAAAATGAAGAACAACATGCAAAGCCAAAGGAAGAGGGAAAAGAAAATTTTGCTGGTCACAACGGGTCTCCTTAACGCCAGCCGTAACCGCCCATCAAGATGAAGAGACCCGTTGAGGCTGGCCGTGTAAGAGGGCCATGGTTTGACTTACACCATGATCTGAGCTTGGCAACCTCACACACCTTGAATTCCC